CGCGATCCGCGACTCGCATCGCGTTGCGTCTTAAGGGTACGCACGGGGCCTGCATGCGGTGCATCTGCGGGTCTCCAATGTGAGTCCGTGAGCCTCGCTGTGAGTCCGTGGGAAGCCACGGATGCGCACCCGTCGATCACTGCCACCACGCGCGCTGCTGCAGGGTGGGTGGGGGGGATCCATTTGGCGACCCCAGCCGCTATCGAATGACCTCTCCAGAATCATCGTGCGACGTCTATATGTGACAGCAACAAAAACCGGTCCGATGCTTTTCGAATTCCTTCCGACAGAAATAATCACTTAGAACGGCGACACTCTGGGTGGAGGGAGAGAGATGAGCGTTGAAATGCGATGTTTTTATTTTTCTCTGGAAGTGTTTGCTGTGTTTATCCAGGATTTTTTTTTCTGTTGCGCGTAGTCACTTTAAGATGTTTTCTTGTTCATGTTTTAGTTTTGTTGCGGTTGCACCCGAGCCAAGAGCCGCATGGCTCACAGGGTTATACCTAATAAATGAAACTGGGGGAAAAAAAACCTGAGATTAACGTATTCCTTCGAAGTTGGCGCATCCAACGTCGTCATTGACAGCCGCCATGTATCCACTGCTGGACGGACATCATCCGCGATGTCACAATCCGACTCGCTCCTGCACGCGAGCCAATCTCATCTCTCCATCCTCACGCCGGTCGTATTCTTGGACGCGTTTCCCTCCTTTGGCTGCCACTCTGTCACTATTCTCATCCATTGGCCACGATCATTCCTTCGGGCGATATGTCCCATCGAAGCCCACATTTCGCGCCTCCGATTGGCACGCTTCGCTACATATGGTGCAAAAGAAGTTCAACATGCATGCAGTACATACTTGGTCTTTTGCTCTACAGTCCACGTGGTGTCTCTAACTGGCGTTTGTTCTCTCATTCACCGTCCCTCTTTCTGTATCTCAGTGTAATTCCCAGCATGAATCTCAGCATGATTCTTTGTACACTTTTTAAAGTATTTTTCTCCATTTTGTCACGGTTCGTGATTCTGTATCTCATAGTCGGCAATATGCCCTGATTAAAAACTTTACTCTTTTGGCACCGTTTGTTGCTTTTCTACATCAGATTTAGCTGCACGATAAAACTCGCCCCCTTATATCGTCATTTTAAGTTGGTTAACCTCTTGCACTCTCATAAACTGAACTGTGATCATCGCTGCTCTGAGGTGTGCCAATCGATGGCAGTGTCCTACAACCAGACATGTATCAACTCACCATCCAACTCGTTTTTGTCTCGTTTTAAAAATCTTGATTTTATTGTTTCTTGTTTTTTTCTGTCTTGTTTGCATAGAATGTGTCTACTTTATTGACCTCAATGTGACATTCTCACGGTGGCTATAAGTTAACTACCTCGCCTGGAACACAGGAGATCGTACGTTAGATCCCGACACTGACGGCTGTTATATGTGGAGTTTGCATGTTCTCCCCGTGGTCGCATGGATTTTCCTCCGGGTCCTCCAGTTTTTCCCTCCACATTTAAAATGAACATACTTTTAGAGTATTTGGCTGCTATACATTTTCACGAGGTTGAGTTATCATTTGTGGCCAGGTCGCTTCTAAAAAAAAGAGTTATTTAGCTCAGCGGGCTTTACCTGCGAAAATAAACAATAGTTTTAGTTTATATGTCGTAAATAATTTACTCTCACACACGCGCAGAATTCAGTGCACGCATTGTGACTAAAATAATTTATGTTAGGTGTTAAATTGATGCCTCATTACACACCCGCCTGCAATCTTGCGATGGGTGATGATATTAAAATGAACGCGTAGGTTTTAGGGCTTTGTGCTGCATGTGTACAGCTCCCCGGTGAGTGATGAGGTTGTTCCACGTGTTGTTCTATTCCCGAAGAAGCTCCCAGCACAAGGATGGGAAAAATCAGACATCATGCGGAACGACGCGCTATAATGAATATTTAAAACAATGGAGAGTTAATTTCCAAACAAACGTTAGGGCGACCCTCATTCCACGATCCCATGGCGGGTTACAGTCTCTTCTGCTTGAACCGTCGCTGTTGGCTTCCCAACAAAAAAAGCGGTTCTTATTTTACCCACCCTGGATTGATGATGGGCCGAGTTGACCGCTAGCCAGGATTTTGAATGTTCGTGATGTAAACAATAGCATGGGAATGCGCACACACAGGCTTCTTATGACACCACGTGTATAGTTACGCAACGCACTATTTTTTTTATCACGTGGCTTTCAATTATGCAACGACGCTGTTTGGCATTTCCTCTCGTGATGAGCTGTGGCACCACCTTTGGCACCGTGTCACCGCCGCCTTGCACGCAGGACGGCGGCTGTGTACTCACGCTTGTAACACTACTCTGGGGTTCTCGAGTTTAAAAGTGTAATATGTTCTGCGCGTGTGTTGAACTTATTTTGCACCGCACGTAGCCGAGACGCGCTAGTCGGAGATGCGGGGAAAAGGACAGCAAACGAAATGCAAAAAGCAGTTCGAAAGAAATAAAGTTTTAAATTTAGATTTCAAAGTGTAAAGCTCCAGTGGCTCATGTGAAGGCGCACAGATGCGATGGCCGTCTATGTTCGATGGTTAGAATGAGTTTACAATCTAGAAATTAGTTTTCAATCTGGAATGACAAACTTACAAACATATCTCAATCCATCAATGCTGTAATACCACGACGATGCTGATGAAGATGATTGCCAGATGTATCTTTTCAATCGATAAATCGTAACGTGATGATATTTTAAACATTGGATTTCAACCTTCTGTCAATCACTCCGCTTAAAAACAATGTTGGTTCTCCAGATCAGAACGCCGCTCTATATCTCTCCGTCTCAAAAATAAAAGCGCCACATATCCGCCACGGTTTCTCGCTCATCGGCCGGCGTCTACCGCCTTTTCCTGTCGGTCTCAATCCTCGCCTCTTCTCCGGATCTGATGTACCCACCCCACCACCGCGTCCATAGAACCCCGGGGTCTTCTATCCGCGTTCGCTTCCCCGCTCCTGTGTCGCGACCCTTCAAGTGAATCCCCCCGCCCCCTCCCCCCCGCCCCGCCGGGCTCATTCCCAGCGAGCGTTTGCCGTCCGGGCCACTGTCGACCTCCGCTCCCTGAACCGCGTTCATCCTCGTCGCCACTTTCTCAAGTCTCTGCATTCTTGTGAGCCGTCGACCGCGGCTTCTACCCCGTAACTAGCCAGCGCAAACTGGCTGGGCATTAGCACGAGCCCTAAAATAAATAAATAAATATTACAAAAATGTGTTAATGATTGAATTCCTTACAACCACTACGCGCCATGGCTCCAATTAAGGTAAAGTGGTGTGAGCGATGCCTCCGATTTCCGCTGATTAATTCCTCGAAGTCTCCACGGGAGAGCTGCTCCGGTCGGACAGCTCAGCGGTAGGCTGCCGCTGCTTCATGAATCATTCCCTCTGCTTTACAGTTATTCGAATTAATGTTAATAATCACCTCCTCGTGTTACGCGCAATTAGCAACACCCCGAGCTCTCTGACCACAGCACGCGTTCCACGTGTAGCCCTGCCCTAACCTCTGACCGCGCGAGCCAACTTGAAGCCCAACCCTAACGCTAACGAACATAGTCGATCAGATGCTCGCCAGATCTCTCGCTCTACACTAATTCCTCAACAATCTAGCAAACTAGCCTATATTCCTCCTACACGTAACCCTAACCACACAAGCCAACTAGACCCTAGCCCTACCTGTAGCTGTAACCCGATTCTACTCCGACCCCTAGTACCGACTAAACCCACGCTCCAATTCCACTCCGAACCATAACTGCCAATCCTAACCACGCTAGCCAGCCAAATAGCACGTAATTTTCATGCCAAAGCCCTTGATCCAGGAAAAGCCTCACTGAGCACCAATGCTCCTGTTAAGGAGGGTTATGCAACATTTTTATGATTGGCCAATTCTATGAATGCAGCTTTTTGGCACGTGGCAGGAAACTGGAGTAGCTGTAGAATACAAAACACCCCATCCATAAGAGGTGATAACACGAATCTCGAGCACAAGCCCCTACAGCTCACCATTACCAAAATAGACAAACCGTATTGGAGCCCTACTGCTAATCCTAACTGCACTAGCCAAGCAGATTTCTCGCACTAACCCGAGCAATTCACCAGAAAATCTGCGCTCCGAACCTCGGCAAATTTCATTCGCGAGTTCCATTCCCGCTCACAGCCAACAGCAGTGACAATTATCCGAACCGGTCTTGGGACTCCCCGTAGGTCAACTCACCCTCGAATGAGTACCTGGTGCGGTGTGTAAACATCGCCACTAGGGAGACAAAGGCGGCCGGGCGTGGTGTTGGTCACTTCACCCCCTTACAGTATCTGCCCTGTCGGCCGTCATAGATCCTCGCTAACAGCACTTGTCCCAACAGTCTGTTGTAGGCGATATGAGGGATCTATGTCTTTGTATTTACGTATGCAAAGCAGAATCCATGTTAGGCATTACAGTACAGTACACAATGTGAGTGTTGTATGTACTGCATGTATGTTGAACTTCTATCGCACAGTACATAGCCAAACGTATTAATCGGAGGTGCGGGAATGTTGAGGCAGGCAAACATGATCTTGACATTTCCCGATGTTCTTGATAATATGTTCTTGACATTTCCATTTCTATTTTTCGAACAACACAGCTCTTCCTAGCAAAACAGCAGTTCTGGTCTCAACAGGCTCTACGCCGTAATGGTGATCACTTTGACACTGATGAAGATGGTTGTGATCACTCTGGTTGTTATTATGATACCGATGGTTGTGGTCACTGACAATGATGGTGATGGTTGTGATTATGACAGTGATGATGATGATCGTGGCTGTGTTAATATTGACATTTGATGGTTGTGATTATTTGAACGTTTGATGATCATTCTATGGCTATGACAGCAATTACAATTGTGACATGGCATTGATCGTGACGACAACGACGACTGGTGTGCGTGCGTGTCTCTCTGTGTGCGTGGCCCGCCGAGGCAGCAGCAGCCATGCTCCGGAAGCCACCCGTCATCATCTCGGACGTTCAGCCGAGCAAGGATGGCGTCTCAAATAAAAGCCTCGCACCTCCAAAAGGTGTAGTGCCCTATCCCCCCCCCACCCACCCTCGCCTTGTCCCCCGCCGATTGTGTACATACTTCAAAATGTTTTATTACGCTCGTGACCCATGCATCAGATTTGTATTTCTCAATGAACCCGTGGGATGCTGCCGTGCGGTGATAAGTAGCGCAGGCTCCCGTTTCGCCCGGCACCAGTTCCATTCAATCCCCCCCCGGCGTGATGGCGGTGGGAGGAACGACGGTTTGCGAGTTTCTGGAAATCTCCCCCACGCCTCTGTCCTTGGCGGCAGTAAAGGGTTCGTCGATCGGCTGACTTTGGTGCGTTAAAAGTGCAACTCGGGTGTAAAAAAGTTGACCGACGGGGGCAAGAGTTTGGGGGGGGGGGGAGTGGGGCGCCTACCGCTCGCTGCATTCAAGGCTTCGTCCATCCACGCTCGTGAGAGAAGTTCCACACTCCCCTCTTGCGAGAGGGCTTCTCACGAGAACTCCCTTGGAGTTGGGAGGCCCTTCCACCAGCAGCGGCTGCGACAGAGAGTCATTTCCAGGGCTGCAACGCTGTACCTTTAATACCCCTTCCATGTCGCTTCGAGCCACAGGCGGTTCTCAAAAGTGCCCGGTCCCCGGCACCGCCACCGGGGTCCTCCAGGTGGACCGCGGGGCCGCGACGCAAATTAAATAATGATGACGATGTATATTCTACCTTTTGTTTTGGACATTAATTCATATTTTACTTATGACATTTAACTTTTGAATAAATTAATTGCGGTAAACTACCCTAATCCTAAGTTCAAAATGTCCCCCCTCCCCCTATATATAAAAAAAAAAACCTTATAGCTGTATAAACAAAAACAGTCCGTTAATATGAATAATTTAGCATTACTGGGATTGAGAGAGAGAGAGAGAAGTGAATGTGTTTGTGTCACCAGGGGTAAGTGGGTGGGTTGGGGGGTGGGGGGGGGCGCTATGCGGTCCACGGGAATTTTGACATCGGCTGAGCGGTTCGGCGGGCCCAAACAAAGTTTGAGAAACACTGGGCATCGATGCCGGCGACTCGGGGAAGCGTGGTGAGAGACTCTCTCTCGTGGCGGGGAGGTGGGGGGGTCACTCAGTTCCCACCATCTGCCACTCCCTGCTCTGCAAGCTCCGTGCCTCGTTGCGGCAAGCCCCGAATTATTTCGACGCAGGCGCGCGCCCTCGGTATTAATTTAGCCGGCGGGGGAGGGAGATGCGGTGGCGAGCGTTTTATTGCGCCAGCGATGGGTTTACAGCCGCGGCGATGAACCGTCAACAATTTGGCTGAGGCTCCCCTCATCCGCCACTCGGCTATTTTTGGCAAGAAATATTACTCGCGGCAACCCGTGATTGGCGACGATGACGACGACGGCGATGATGACGACGGCGATGATGATGATGAAGAAGCGTGGAGGGCCGACTAACTCGAGAGGGACGGGTGCCACGAGCGGCGGCGTGGAGCGGTACTGGGACAGGCAGCAGTTGTGACGACTCATTTGGCAGTGGCGGTGGTGGAGCGGTTAGCGCTACGCTGCGCTACGAACCCGGCTCACGGCCAACACCACAGTGTCGATTATCTGAACCGGTCCTGGGCCTCCCCCAGGTCGACTCAGCCTCAAATGAGTACCTGGTGCGGTGGTGTGCAAATATCGCCACTGGAGACACAAAGGCGGTCGGGCGTGGTGGGGGCTTCGTTGCACCAACGAGAGTTAAAGAGAGAGAGTGGGCGAAGGGATGGATGAAAGGCGCACACTCGGCGACGAGCGATGCTGGGGACAGGGGGTGAGTGTTCTGGAAGGAACCGGGAGCTAAATAGCACGTGGTGTGTGGCAATGTATTAACGGGGGCTTCATTGCATCGGTGACAGTGACGTTGCTAAGTTGCGTAGTGACGACATTATCAGCTCAGGGGGACCCCAATATTAGATTTTTCTCCCACGGTCACACCTAGGCAATTAAATATCGCGGCTCCCCTTAATGACATCATTACGCTCACGGACTCGAACATTTATCGCTCTAGGGGCACTCCGTCTTCGCAAAATGCAGCTGCTACAGCTCCGTAGCGCCCCATTTGCAATATTACATGACCGCTTTAATTAAATTTGAATAAACCGTGGAACGTAAATGAAAGCATTTTCATGAAAATTAATTTAAACCGCATTTTAAACATGTGTTTTTGTCCTTCGACACGATTGTTGACAAAATATCTCATAGTGGTTGTCAAAGGGGGCCCCAACTCGCAGCTTTGCCCACCAGGTGGGGGTGGAGTGGGCAAGGCACCCCGTGCCACCATGCTCATTAGCTGATTGATTGATAACTCACACGAGAGAGAGAGAGCGAGCTGGAAGGAATTACATTCAAGCAGTGTTGGCAGGAGGTTGAAAGGCTTGGGTGGAGCGGTGGCGCAGTGGTTAGCGACGCTTCGCTTTGAACACGACGACCCGAATTTTGCCATTTCCTGGCGACTATCATCTGAACCGGTCGTGGACATCTCCCTGGTCGACGCAGCCTCAAATCAGCACCCGTACGGTTTGCTCCGTGAAAACATCAGTCACACCCCCCCCTTACCCCTGCCACAGGTGCGGGCAGTCACAGGTAGGCGCTAGCTCAACTCCCCCTTGTGGAGTCCACACGGTGGATCGTTTTGTTGTTAATTTTTGTGTTTCTTGTTGATGCGGCGCAGACAAGGCCCGGCGTAAGCAGTCCTTCACGCTCAACATGGTGGCCTACACCCACCACACGGAGGAGGGCACCGTGCCGGAGGGGCAGAGCGTACCCGAGTTCTTGTCCAAGCCGTACTCCCTCACTCTCATGGAGGGTAAGGCTCCCCCCACCACCACCCCCCCCACCGCCCGCTCGGGACGCGACAAGACGACCTGCGCTCGTCCGACACGGTGCCAGCGGTGGAGCTATCGAGCGTGCGCGTGGTGCAACTGCGCCCAGGGGCTCGCGGGCCAGAGAGGGGCCAGGGGGGGGGGGTGGCCGGGGGGGGTGACGAGGGGGGGCTAGGCTCTGGGTGGACTAAAAAACCCATGGCAACTGGGGTTGCCACCTGTCCTGGATTTTCCAGGATCGCATTCTAATTGTTGAGGCAGCCGCTGTCGTGGGAAATATGCAAGTCTCCCCGGGATGACATGAATAGTCCCAATTTCTGAGAGACGTTATAATAATAATGGTAAGTTTTGTTGTCCTTTCCCCACACATCCGATTGGCACGGTTGGCTAGGTAAGGTGCGAAAAAAGTTCAACACACGTGTGTAGAACTTTTTTTCTGGCCAGCAGGGACGAAAAGGCGAAGCATCCTCTCGAGGGATCCTCTGTAGCTGCCACTAGTTGACGCCCTTCTGCCAGCAGCAGCGTGAGCCAGCAATTGCAGGGATGCACATTCGAGTGCATGTGTGTGACACTGAGCCCCGTGTGTTTGTGTGAAAAGGAAAATCGGCCACCTTCCGTGCCCGAGTCTCTGGGACGCCGACACCCACGGTGACCTGGCAGAGGATTAACGGGGAGCCGGTGGTATCTGGCAGTGACTACAAGGTGCACTATGATCAGCGCAAGGACGAGCACATCATGGAGGTAAGAAACACATGCGCGTGTGTCTGTGCGTGTATGCACTGTATTGTCGGGAGCGGTAGTGTAGTGGTCAGCGCGGTGCGCTACGAGCCGGCCACCCAAGTTCGATTCCCGCTCGCAGCCAATACCAGTGACGATTAGGTCCCTTCATGAGGTTCAATAGAGGCCTGCAGCAGAAATCCACAACAAAAGAACAGAGCCCGCTTTTGGGCCCCCTTTTGCGTGAGGCCCAGGGCAAATGGACATTTCCCCCCCCCCGCCCCCCACCCACCACTGGCTTGTGCAACAAAACCGGTGACCCGAGATCGAGTCCCAATTTTGACCAATATCAGTGGAGACCATCCGAAGCGATGCATCCTTAAACTAATTCCTGTTTCTGTGTGAATCTCCCCCGACACCGGGGGAGATTCAGGCAGCGGGGCGTGGGTGCTGGCCACAACTCGATGCCCCTGGTCGTGTGCCATTCCGGCCTATTGTGAGGCCCTCGCGAACATTACTTCTTGGCTACACGGGGATGTTTGTTCACGTAGGGCCATCACGGTGATGCGCGCCGTGATGTGACGGTTAGCACAGGGGACTGCAATTCAGAAGTCACCGTTTTGGATCTCTCAATGGGAACGCTTCTTAAATCCCCCCACCTCTGACCATCTAGCAGTACCAATGTGTGACACCACAGCCAATTCGCAGGTGGCATACGGTGGGGTAAACCGTGGCTATTCCCACCTTTTCCAAGATGTAAGGCCATCGTGGAAGAGAAGGCCAAGATATCCTCAGGTATAGGTGTGTGACCATTATGGCATCTAGTGATGTTATCCTGCCGTCACTCCTTATATTTAAATTGGTCAATGCATTTTTTTGTTTTTTGGGATAATTTGAACTCATGATCAACTCCTTCGGCTCAAAATATTGATCCAGGAGGGCCTTTTAGATTTTTGGTGGTATTTAAAGTAGTTTTGTTTTACATTTTGGCAAAAAAGCATCATTGCCCATTTGTGAAATCTTTCCAATTCGGGTTGAAAGCGTTTGTGCAGTATTTATGTCCGAATGCAACGAGGATGTGCGATAAATCTCATATGGGTAATCCAACATGATCAAAACTTGAGTATAGAATTGTGTTGATATTAGGATTTTCCCTATAAAATTATACCCGATGAAAATCATACAAATGGAAGTGGACGGTTAGCCGTGCTCTCCCTGGCAGAGCCTGTTGTTTCGTCGTGGTCTAAATATCGCTCTTTTAATATTTCCGATGACATGCACACGTTTGGAAAGTGTTGCAAAATCCATGAATATGCATGATTTGTCTTCCTTGTTTCTTTATATTTGGTGAGATGCCTTCTACAAAATTGATGGAAGGATTATAAGTACCCTTACATCAATTATATACTTATAATAATCCACACATCTTTGTCAATTGACTGCTGGCAGAAAAACTTTCCCCACACCATGTCGATCATGGAGGTTGTTTGACCATGACTGACTGCATCGGCCGATCATCTCAGTCAATCGACCCATGGCACCTGGGTCTGTCCCGTGACCTCCTGCCAGCGGGCGTTCGACACTTCACCTGGCCTTAAAATGCACATAGCCTTGCACAAGTGCCATGGTGACATCACCGCCACTTAGTTGTTGTTCTTTGACCATACTTCACCATGATGCTTAATGCAGTGTGTTGCAGAGGGGGTGGAACCAGCTCTGATGTCAGCCGTGGCTGGGATATTAATTTATCGTGCAGTGCACGCCACTGCCCAACTTATTTCTGGCCATTACTGTATTTTATATAATTCACAATTGCGGGCAACCCAGCCAAGGCAACTTGCTAGTCAACCAACCCCTTTACTCCGGGTCTGCCCAAATTCCCACATTATAGAATTCCCCACAACATCCATATGCCGCTGTTACAATAACCGTATGACAATAATAACGACAAACAATTTGCGTGCAGCGGTTGGCACGAACATCTCCATCAGACCCTTACCTTTGCATTCACCGTGACTTTAAAAACTAAAACGATGAAAGAAAAAAAAGCAAGCCTAACCTTGGAGGCAATGTTAGCTCTGTAAGTATAAATAACCACTCGGGAGATTAATGGGTGGGCAAGTGTCACAACGGTCAGCAGTCTCGACCCTGGCGCATGCCACCAAGAAACAACAACTGCAGCTCGATCCCAGGTTTCAGCCACTGGTGATTGAGCCAGGTTCTCAATTGTGCTGTGTTTTTTTAAAAAATCTTAGCCTGGTTACCAATGACTCCCGAAAATGTATGAAGGTAAATTGCAAAGCCTCACCGGGTTTCAACTCTTGTTCAGCAGGATCCTACGTTGGAGTGTTTTGCTAATTTCCTAAAAGAGTGTTTTAGATGTAGGGATAAAAAAATAACTGAGTACCCAGAGAAAACCCATGCATTTAAGGGGATAACAACCAAAGCTCTCCACAGACAGATTCACAACCCACTTGCTGTACTGCAATCTCCAGGCCACCTTTGCAGCCAGCGGGTGAGTTTTATAAATCTGTTTGATCCAGCAACTCCTGCTTACAAAGCCCTGGACCTCAGGCGTGCACCACCACCACCACCACCAGAGCTGTCCCGAGAGTTACACGGAGAATCGGGGCGACTGCCCTGGGCCCCGTGCATTGGGGGGCCCTGCGCTTCGACGTTTACGGTGTCAAATGTAATACTTCCGGTTTAGTTTGAAGGCGGTGGGCCCACATGGTGTGAATTGCTCTGGGCCCCCGCACCCCCCTCCCCTTTTTGTACGGCCGTGGCCGCCACCGCACGTGGCTCTAATTTTAGCCATGTGCGACTGGTGCAAGTCCAGGTCAGAGTGTCTCTGTTCTAGAGCCCGGGACAACCGACTATTTAAGTAATATATTACCCTCTACTGATTTATCGGTCCCGTTACGCGACTAATCGGACAACGCGAACGTAGTTGTGATGAAAGGTCGAGCGCCACCTCTTGTTCCCGCACCTCAGACTGGGGGCGATGGGTGGGGGCTTTGTGATGTCATCGGCGTCATCAAGTGCATCACCACCCAGGGCGTGGCTTTCAGGAGCTTTTAGGGAAGCTTCCGGCCTTCACGAAGGCACGATATGGGAGGCCACACGCCGTTATTAAAATAGAGGCTCGAGCGATCGGTCGCAAAAACTAAAGGTCGTCGATTAATCGACAACATCGACAAATCGAGCCAGCTCTACCATGTTCGGGTGTGTTCGCATCTGTCCAGGCAAAGGGTGTCCTCCTGCGCCCCCTCCCCCCACCCCCCTTTGACTCCGCGTCTTTCTCCCCCCCCCCCCCTTCACTCCCGGCAGGTGCCCAAGGTGCTCTCGAAATTCGCCGACACGTACCGCTGCACCGCCAGCAACGTGCACGCCGAGGCCTCCATCGCCGTGGCCCTCATTGCCATCTCACGTGCGTGGGGGGGGGGGGGGGGTGCAGCTGCAGCGGTAGTACGTTGATGCGGCTTAGTTTGAACCGTGGCGGGGAAGCTCTAGCCGAGTGGGATAGAAAATTGAAGCAGCTTAGTTAAAAAAAAAATATCAAAGATGCAGGTGTAGTGGGTTCAGCTGAGTCGCACTCGTAGACTTGGAGGCAGCGCATTTATTTAGTTCCAACACAACGGGATGACGTCACCCTTTAACAAGACAACGGCCTAGGGTGGTAACCACCCTGGCTAACGACATTGGTTACTGAGTAGCTATTAACTCCGGACCCGGGACCAACAACATCCTGCCCGGGTCCACGTGCTGGAAGACTCGCAGAACGGAGATCGTAGACAAAGGGTTTCTTCCCCGGGACGGACAGCCAAGATCCCTCTCGGGACTCAGCTTATATTATTTTTGGCGTGGCGAGCTCCGCCCTTGGCCACACCCCCCATCCAGAACCGTCAGGAAGAACCTGGGTTTGAATCACGTGACCCTCCTAGCCCCCTCTTGGGGGCCCCCCTGTCATTCAAACCGGTCACGTGTCCTCCCGGGTCAACCAGAGTGTCATGACCTTACCCCACCTTCCCCTTAGGTCGGCACACACACACCGTGCCCCCTAGGGCGGGCAATGCACTTACAGCATGGTGCCATCCAGCGATGTCACTCCACGCACACCGTGCCCCAGGGTGATTTGGTGGGAGACAACCTATCCCCGCAGCTACAGTGTCTCTCCACTGAACAATGTTGCATTTTCTATTTTTGGGTAAGTGATCTCCTCTGCAGTTGTGATAATGTCAGGTGTATATATATTGTTGACAATTGAAAAGTCTGCAATGTTGCTGTTTGCCGTCTCTTTGGGCGCATGCAGTCCGCAAGTCAGCGCCACTACAGATGAAAGGTAAGCAGTATTTGTTTAATGCAAAATAACAGCGCCTCCTTCCCCATGTTTGTTTCACCACCAAAATATACAAAGTTTTTGTTAGTTTGTTTGGTACACGTTACCCATCGGCCATACGGCCTTCTGAGAGTGTCTCTTATCTGTAACGTTGGTTCAAAACAAGCACACTCTGGACTGGTTTCAGCATTCAATGACTCAAGTTGCAGAGTCCGGCACGCTGATCCAACGCTGCTGAGCTGCCCCATTTTTGTTAATAGGCAAGGGCCCTTTTTATATTATGTAAAAAAAAAATACCCAATGGCATCCATAACACTGCAGCGATTATAGCGGTTCATATTGAGGCCTGTCCTGTACAAGCACGAAAGGCCACCCACAGGCTCACTATCCATAAAGTGGGAGTTGATCAAGTGGATCAAGCATGTGTCGCGATTACGCTAATTTTGCAACCACCTGTGGGAAGGCAGTGCAACGAATCGTCATACACGCGAAATGTGGGGTTTTCAAGTTTTCTTCCAATTACGATTGCGAGTAATTGGTTTCTGTATAATTAAACCCATAATAACATGAGCGACATGGTGTGGAGACACCTTCATCTACCGGCGGCTTAAAAATTACTGCAAACAAATGTATATTCTGTACGTGTGTGTGTGTACTGTACATAGTGGGGAGTGGTGGCACAGCGGTTAGCGCACTGTGCTACAAACCCGGTGACCCGAGTTCAATTCTTGCTCACGACAAATAACAGCGGCGAACATTTTAACCGGTTCTGGGCCTCGCCTAGGTCGATTCAGCCTCAAATTAGCACCTGGTGCGATGTGCCAACATCACAGCACTTGCCCTAACAGTCTGTTAAAGGCTATAGGGGGGATCTTTGTATCTGCGTGTATGTAATATTGTTCAAGACTTAACCCTCACCCTAACCTGGACTTTATTTTCTTCACGATGACACGACATACAGAGGAGGTCAGTGATGCGGCAGACTTCCGTGCAAAGCTCAAGAAAAGGTAAATAATTTTCCATTTAACACGTAGTCATTCGTGACCAACATTACCCATAATAGAGGTTCTTTAAACCCGCCACCACCGGACACAGACAACTAGTAAGGTTTGTCACGCAAACAAAACATGCCAATTCGTCACTAGTTCAGCACACCGGTGTGTTGGAGAGTAAACCCACAACAACATTTACAATCTGAGCACCCTGACGATTCACCAGTACTCACAACAACCAACTTCATCAGGCGACAGCCAGAATTGTGGAGAAATCCTCCCATTTCGGTCTTTCATATACGAAATAATTTTCTGTAAGGCGTCGTAATATCAAAGGGATGCTGCCCTGGCGTAATGGTTAGGACACTGGACTCGCAGTCCTAGAGGTCACTGGTTTGTTCCACTGGCACAGCTGTTGATATAGTGGGGCCACGTTTCTTAAATCCTCATCCTCTGTCCATCCAGCAGTGTATGCGGGGTACACCATCGTTAGTCGTCGGGTCATCTGCGACGGGGAAAAGTGTGGATACTGCCACCATTTCCGAGATGTATTGTCAACGTGGAAGAGTAGGCCAAATAACTAACTATAAAAAAAAACTATTTTGTATTTTACCAGGTAAAGCCCACTGAGCTCTACAGCTCTTTTTCAGAAGCGACCTGACCACAAATAATAGCTCAACGAAGTGGCTTCTCACGGGTAAATTCATAGCAGCCAAATAAATCTTAATCGCATTATTCTAAATGTGGAGGGAAAAACCGGAGGACCCGGAGGAAAAATCCACGTGACCACGTGGAGAGAGACCGCAAACTCCAAATATACAGCAAAGTGTCAGGGTCGGGATCGAACCCACAACCTCCTGTATACCTGGCGAGGTAGTTAACATCTCGCCGCCACGGCGCCCATCTCGAGGGGTTCTCTTGAGCTCCCCCTAGCGGTGGCTCTTTCGCCAGCAGTGATGCGTGCAAGCAATCGAGCTGCACCTTTGCCTTTCATCAACGACGTCACGCTAAAACGCTGGCACTGACCTACGCCTGTAGTTCAACACTTTGTTTTGCGAGTGGGGCTCGTGGCAGTACAGCGAGTGGATTGGCACCGACCAATCCACGGAATGGTTTTAAAGTGTTGTCCCCCTCACGTGTGGCATTGAGCCATACTGTAGCTAGGGCAGAATGGTCGCGGCCGTTTCCAATTTGCTTTCCTCCACGGTGGTTTTTTTTACAGGTGACACCATCACGAATTTAGCCGCAAGCCTTCACAGATTGGCCACTTTCGTGTTGTCAGACGACTTTCGCAGACAGCCAATGAGGTGGCCTTTGTCAGTTCAGCGCAACATTCACGTTTCTGAACGTCGTTTGACCTCATATGAACAAATGCACTATATGCGTCTGAGAAATACGGGGGCTGTTAACTTTGATGCTGGGCCATTATTAGGCCAACATAGTTTAATAAATTGGCCAATGTTTGACCTATCACTAGTTTTTTCTTGGATCACTACTCTGATTAATATTAGACTATCATTACGAGCGATTTTTGCCATTAGCAGGCCATTATTTAGCCATTATTTGATCCAAATTGAACCATTATTTGGCCGACGTTTGGACACTAAACCTTACAACTTTGGACGGCGCTGGGCCATCACCAAATTAGTATTCGTGCCCTCATTTGTGCAAGATTTGTCCAAAATACGCCCAATCTTGGGACAAGAAACGCCAGAATTCGGGCAGTGCTGGATTATCGCCAGACCACTATATCTGTCATTGTTTGTCCAATAAATCGGCCAGTTTTGGCCCATCACTGCGCCGATGTGGTGGTACTTTTCGCTGGGCAAACGACCAATGAAAAAGTGGCGCGCAGCCAATGCCCTCGTGGTACCTGTGTGATGTCATCTCTGCTCTGCTCCGCAGAAAGAATCGGTGAGGCACGCGCAAACTGCTCGATCCTGCCACGTACAGGCAGCTTTAAGTATTAGCTGTGCAATATATATACGGCTCTCCATGCAGACAATGTTGGAGTGCTCGGTATATATGGACGTCGTCACTGCGTCTCGTTTGGTGGTGGTGGTGCTGTTGTTATCTTGTGTGCCATCGCATGATGTACATTACGGGCGGCAGAAGGCGGTGCAAGCATTGTTGCACTGTGCTTCTGTGCTCCCACGTCCATGCTCCACGCCTTCAACCAAACGCCAATGAAGCAGTTGTGGTGAAGCGTGCGTCAAAGAGCCCCCCCCCCCCCCCCAAGAGCTGCAAGGCTTTGAGAAGGCCCCTCTGCAGCAGTGGACCAATAAAAAGGGGGCTGTACTCGTACACGCGCATTGACAAACAGGGCTGTATATGTGCGTGCATGCAGTGCAGACGTGCGTTGCGTTCTATTGCGCGGGTGCATGGGGCGAAGCGTCCAGTCGTCGTGTTGGTGGCCTTTGTTGGCATGTAAATCAATCAATCAACGACTGATAAATTCGGTGCTCTGTCAAATACGATGTGTATTTAAACTTGGCGGAAGGTGATTGAGTTCCAAAAGAGGCCAAGAGTCAAAGTAAGTTCCTGCTCAAATAAGTAGTTCACATTTGTATGGCCGTGGTTTGCCTGTGTCGAAGAACAAGGGATGGTGACCTCCCAGAAAACTGTCACCTCACTTTATTGACCTGGAGGAATGATGGGCTGGGTCACTCCACAACTGGGATTTGAACCCGCAACCCGGACTGTCTCATCCGTACTCTGTTCCACCAGCATGCCGCAGGTCCCAACTCTTCCATTTCTGCTTCCTTCACCACGCCGCTCCACTTTGGATCTATCTCTCATCATCCCAACTAAAGCTACGCTTTTTTATTTACCGAGTATGAGCCCACTTAGCCACTAGCTCTCTTTCCGAGGTGACCCGGCCATACATAGACAGTGGTTCATACCGTATGTGGGACTTTTAAGTAGCAGCCAATGAATCTAAACTCTCTTCCAGTGTAACTTTTCTCAATTCGACAAACTCTTTGTCTCTTACGCATTCGATGGCGCCGTTTGTTGCTCGTCCCTCGTTTGTTTTCGGGCGTTTGGGCTTTGTGCTCTGCGTCTGCGGTTTGAAAACAGAAAAAAAAACACCCCACTTCCCCGCCACCTCCTCGCAGGGTTGAAGAAGAGAAGGTCCCAGAGAAGACGTTCGACGAGAAGGAGGTGTGGGACATCCTCATGAGCGCCGACAGGAAGGACTACGAGGCCATCTGCTTCAAGTACGGCATCAAGGACTTCCGCGGCATGCTGCGTCGCCTGCAGGCCATGAAGGAGGCCAAAGAGGAGGAGGAGGAAAATGTACGCGCTCATGTGTGTGTGTGCACCCATTTGTGTGTGTGTGTGTCTGTCTGTGTGTGTGTGCCTGTTTGTGTGTGTGGAGTGATGGTGTAGCGCGTAGCGCGCTGCGCTATGAATCCGGAAACCTGGGTTTGATTCCCGCTCACGGGCCAACATCAGTGACGATTATCTGAACCGGTCCTGGGCCTCCTCTAGGTCGACTCAGCCTGGAATGAGTACTTGGTGTGATGTGTCAACATCGCTACTAGGGAGACAAATGCGGCCGAGTGTGGTGCTGGCCACCCACCCCATCGTGTGCTGTTCCAGCCTTCATAGGTGCTCGCTAACAGCACTTTCCCCAACAGTCTGTAAAGGCTACACGTTGGATCTTTGTCTTGTGTGTTTGTTCTTGTCTCAGGTGGTGCATCTCCCAGTTCTATCAGTCAGTCAACCCATGGCAACTGGGTCTCTCCCGTCAACTTTCGACACATGGTCTCAAAGCGGTCTCGAAGTGCACAAGCGCCTTTGTGACGTCACCGCCACTTAGTGGCAAATGGTGGCTGCTGTTGTTCCTGTGTCGACTCAGCCTCAAATGATTACCTGATGCGGTGTGTGAACATTTGCCACTCAGGTGGCCAAGGCGGCCGGGCATGATCCTGGCCACACCGGTCCATCGTGTGCCTCGCCGGCCTTCATAAGTGCTCGCCAAAAGCACTTGCCCCAGCAGTCTGTTATGGCTCTTTGGGGGATCTTTGTCGTTGTGCACTGCGTGTGCGTGCATTTGAGAAGCGGCGGCAGAGTGCTGTATGAATATCGACTGCAAGTGATATCTGAACCTACCGTAGGCCTCTCCTCGAGTGACTTAGGAAGATGCAACCAAAAAACAAGCAGCTCTGGGATGGACAGGCATTGTGTGTTTCTCTGTATTTGTCCTGCGGATATAATGTACGGCTTCAAATCTAGAAATAATGCACGGGTGTTTGTCCATGGCCTAGGGTTGCCACCTGCCCGGGTTTTCCCAGGCCCTCATCTTGTTGAGGAAGCTGTCCTGGGAGAAAAAAAAATTATCGGGACATTAGAGGTCCCATTTTTCGTGTCAGTTTGCGCAGGCAACGCTGTCCACCGCTCGAGACAATGCATTCGCCCTCGTGAAATATTCTTGTTCCCCGTGATCTCCCCCGGCGCGTTTGCACTTTTTGAGGTTGCCAAACATCGCGCGGCGGTTGTGTTCGTCCCGTTAGGAGCTGCAGCTTCGCAAGGCGTTAAAGCACGTGAAGGTGAATGCGGAGGGAACCGCTGTGTTTGAAATCTACATGGGGCGGCTGGATCCCAGCAAGAACCTGCGATTTTTCAAGGTGGGTGATCGCCACAATTCGTCACATCGCTGCAGGACAGCTGCCGGGTTGGCAGAGAACGCCGGCGTCTCGTCCCACCGCCTCTCCTCTCCACTTGCTTAGCTCTTTTTGCTGTTCCCTTTTCTTAGCAGCTTCACATTCCCTATTGCCGTACAAAAACCGGAGGAAGGGCCTTTGCTATTGATGCCCCCAGGGTCTGGAATGCTATTGCCAATAAACTGCAACTTGAATCACTACCTATGAGATCTTCACTCAAAATAGCTCTAGGGGAGTTGTAGACCTCTAGCTGCCACTGCTATTCAGTGGCCTAAAATATGGCTCTAGGGTTTGGTGTTATAATTTATTTATGTAGTTTATTGTTATAAATTCGGTCACAGTCCCTATGATCACTGTTACATTGCATTTATGGCTTTTATTTTGGTGATTTCGAAATTTTTTGTGGTTTGGCCATGTTTTTGTTTATTGTAGTACGGAGTTAGACTGATGGCCTAAATCTTAGTTGTCTTGTGGTTGTTGTTGTTGTTGTTTGACTTGCATCCCACTGGGATTTTTGCACACAGCGTTGATGTACGGTGCTATTTCAGGAATATTTTGCTGTTTTTTCCTGGATTTTCTGTTTGCACAGTCACATAGTCACTTTAAGATGTTTTTCTTGTTCGTGTTTTTGTTTTTTGTTTGTTGCGGTTGCACCCGATTCAAGAGCCGAATGGCTCACAGGGCTATACCAAATAAATGGAACTGAATGGAACTTCCCTTATCCTCCTTTTCTTGCTCTTCTATCTGAATGTTTTAAAATCTTTCGTAACGCTTTTCTTCTCGTTATTTTATAGCGCCCTGAGAACGATTGTTTAAGGACGCTTTATAAATAATAATTATTCTACTCCTCCTTCTACTCCTCCCCCTCCTGCTCCTTCACCGCATTCAACCGCGGTCATAGCCTTTTTTGTGGGTGTTGAAAAGCGGTCCCGTCATTTAAATGGAGTGCCCCTTGCCGATACCATCTGTCAACACAGCAGTATTCGCTTAGCTGGCCTGACTCTGCTGGTGAGACCCAGAAGGTCGCAAAACAGTCCAGAGTGTGCTTGCTTGAACAAAATGCTGCTCCAGCTGATGGATAGTATCGGTTTTGGACAGCTGATGGGCCGATTAACTAACACACAATTAATTTACACGTGGAGATACAGGACAGAGTTCTGATATTTGCTCGTGCACAAACATCGTTGTTTCTTCCAGCGACCTCGGTCTACATTTATAGAGATCGATTCTTAAAGGTACTTCGATTCAATTTCATCTATATCAATGTTATTAAATGTTACTTCCCCTCCGATGTGGTTTCGCTTTGTACTGCGTATTGTGCAGCACGATGTCCGACGTTTCGCTGCGCGTCCTGGGAGCTTCTTCGGGAACGGAATTGAGCAGCTCATGTGTTGCGGGCCGCTGCTCGTTCTCTGGCGTAGGCCCGGCCGATGTTATTTGTTTGCTTCGTCTCGGAGGAAACCAAATTATCGAAAGCTCATCGCTGGCGCATACGTGGTCAAACCGGAGCGCCCGGAGGAAAGCTCCTCACTCATTCATGTCGTTCAGACTGCCGTACCATTGGAAGTTACTCTCACGTGCAAAGTAGCTGGGAAATCGCCGCCTCCTCTACTTTCCACTCATCTCGTGTTTGTGTATTGTTTGCCGCAACGTTCTGACCCGCTCCTACTAGACATCTGTGAAAAAGAGCTTCATGGCTATAAAGATATATTCAGATTCTGACGTCAGAGGCATCACAGAGCTAGCTCTGTGATATTCGCTTCTAGAGGCTGTACCCTGTGACATTTCGGAACGGACGCTTCGTCTCATCGCTTAACAGCGATCGACGCGTCATCATCATCATCACGGTCCATGGGCAGGCAGCCCGCAGGTGTCCGCTGCACATTTAGTCATTTGTTTCCACTTTCCTCTGCCTTGTACCAATGTGCTCAAGTAGTGCCACATCTTTTAATTGGCACCAATCTCTTGGTGGCAAAGGAAAATTGGCACCAATCTCTTACGTCGGCAGAAAATCACGACGATGGCGACAAACGTCGAGACGTTTTGTGCCGCAGAACGGGAGGCTGCTGACGATCGATGAGACGGAGGGGAAGCACATGCTGAAGAAAATCGACGACAAGTATTGCCTAGTCATCAACAACGTCAACGCGAACGACGACGGAGATTACGCGGTGGAGGTCGACGGGCAGATGATCAAGGCCGGACACCTGCACTACACCGGTACGTGGGCGGCGAACGGTGGGCACGGCGCTACCGCCGAGGGACGCGGCCGGGTGGCTCATCAACAAAATTAACACTGGCCCATACGGCTTGTAATGGCGTAGCTTAGGCGCTGTGCCAGCATCGTTGAGATCCCTGCCTTCGAAACTGCATTTATGACCACCCCATGATTAAACTGGGTTCTCCAAGTGTGTGAGGTTCTCAAGCCTGTCATCAATTGCTGTGCATCAAAAATAAAACCTCCATCACGCTACACTTACTTTGTCACTTCATTCAGCAAAATGTCAGATATGCGAAGTGAAAAAAAACCTTTGATTTGATCACCATGCAATGGACATCTCTCAAGCAGGGCATGTGCAGATGGTGCAGTGCCTGTCGTGTGGATGAAAGGCAATTGAAGAAGCCTCAGAAGTAGTTCTGTGAAGTAATCTTTCAGTGGCCGTTCTCTGTGAAGAACTGGCATTACGCTGCCTTCTCGTTGGGACTGTGCCGACAGCACCCCGCTCAAAACTCTGTCGCGGATGAAATACTGGTTGGGAGTGGTGGTGCAGAGGGGGGGAGGGGGGGGGTGACGGGGGGTTGATGCGGAGAATGCTTCATTTCAGCCCATCATCCCTCCGGGGTGGATAAAACGAGTACCGTGTGTCTCTTGCTGCCACAGATGAGCAGGTGTTCATACGGCAGCTGCAGTCGATGCGCTGCTATGAGCGGGAGTCGGTGACCTTCGAGTGTAAGCTCACCATGCCTACGCCGACTGCCACGTGGAACTTCAAGAGCCTCGAGCTTATAGAGAGCAACAAGTATGAGATGAAGGTGAGTGTCATGATGATACCGATGATGGTGACATCATGATCATCGTCATCATCATTGTTACCGTAATGATCTCAGGTCAAGGAGCTTGTATGCACACGAAGATACCGTGGTATATTATTCATCAGGGTCGTCATCATTGTCACCAATGTTGTCGTGAATGTAGTCAATCAAGATATAGTGATGATGGTGACATTATGAACATTGTCATCATAATTTTCATCGCGATGTTCAATCAAGGTGAGTGCGACTCTGATGATGTCATCACAATCCTCATTATCCATTGCCATCGTAGCTATCATCACGATCGTTGTACGAGCAAGGTAAGCAAGCTCCGTCGTCATTGTGACAATGCATTGTCATCACAAGCTTATTTTACTTCGAAAAAAGATCAAATGCAATGTGACGATAATTCGCAGAGGAACAAATTGTAAAATTGTTCGGGAGGAAACCAATGTTTTTGCTACCCGGCTACCTCACACAAACGATGCTAAGAGGCTTCCCACGGTGGGTGCCCATCCCTGAAGGTGCTGGACGGTGGGAAGACGCACCAGCTGACAATCAACAACACGCGCATGGTGGACAAGGGCGTCTACTCGATAGTGGTCTTCGGGTGCAGCTCGGTCGCGTGGCTGGAAGTCGCAAGTAGGGACGAGCATACGCGCACAAATGCACACGCGCGCGTACACGAGACAAAGATCCGCACCCCCCCCCCCCCCCCCGTATAGTCTTAAGAGACTTTTGGGGCAAGTGCTTTTAGCGAGCACCTATAGAAGCCGGCGCGGCGGCACGGCACACGAATGGGTGGATGTCACAGCACCAATCATGGCCGCCTTTGTCTCCCAAGTGGCCACATTCATACACCGCACTGGGCACTCATTGGGGGTTGAGTCGACCTGGCGGAGGCCCAGGACTAGTTAAGGTAATTGTCATTTGTGTTGGTGGCCGTGAGCGAGAATCGAAATCAGGTCGCTGGGTTCATAGCGCAGCGCACTAACCGCCGTACTACTGCTCCTCAAAGACGAAGATCCCCCTATATAGCCTTAACAGACTGATGGGGCAAGTGCTGTGAGCGAGCACCTATGAAGGCCAGAACGGCACATGAGGGGTGGGTGGCCAGCACCAAGCCCTGCCGCCTTTGTCTCCCGAGCGGCGATATTTTTACGCACTGGTCCGAGTACTCATTTGAGGCTTAGTCGACCTAGGGGAGGCCCCGAACTGGTTCAGATAATCGGGTCGCCGGGTTTGTAGCAGAGCGCAGTAACCGCTACCGCTACCGCTCCCTGCACGCATACATACACGCACGCGCGAACATGCGCATTCGCACACGAAACTAACAACTGCCCTCCACCCCAACCGATTCCCCCCGCCCCCCCCCCGCCCCCCCCCCCCCGCCACGTTTGCTCGCCCCTTCACCGCGGCAGAGAGCGCCATCAAGTTCAAGAGCGGTTTCCGCTCAGTGCGGGCGCGCGCCGGCGACACGGCGAGCTTCAGCTCGGAGCTGAACATCGAGGGCACGAACGCCACGTGGCTCAAGGACAAGCTGCCAATCACGGCCAGCGACATCGACAGCGGGCGCATCAAGGTCTTCTCGGACGGCGGCAAGCACGGCATCAGCTTCCACCCGGCGGCCGAGAAGGACACGGGCGAGTACACGGTGGTGGTGAAACAGGACGACGACGACAAGGAGTACACCGCCAACACGTTCCTCCGCGTCGAAGGTGGGTCTCTGCGTGCATGTGCATGCGAGGGTGCACGCTTCGATAGGGCAGGGGAGGAGGAGGATGAGCAGGGTGTGGGTGAAGGAGGATGATGAGGAGGATGAGGAGAAGGGGGGAGCGGGCAGGGGAAGCGAGGAGGAGGCTTTTGCGCATCCAGCCTGGGGTGGGACGCCAGTTGTGTAGACCTCAGAGGCGAACCGGTCGGTGACACTGGCGTGTTGACCCTGCAGCCACGTGGTCTGCAGTGACACCGGTGCGCAGTCTGCACAGTCAGGCACTGAAGCAGTGACACTGACAACCGTGCGGTCAACACCCCCCGTGCCGATCTCCACAGCTGCCGATGACGACGCCAACAAGAAAGAACGGCAGGAGCGGCGCACGCAGAAGGCCATGGTTGCCCCGCCGAAATCCACCGGCGATGGTGGAAAACGTGGAGACGACAAGTCCACATCTGGCAAAGGCGGCAAGGGTGACGGGTCCAAGTCCGGGCTTGACAAGAGTGCTGATGCAGGGAAGGGCCTCAAGGGCAATGCCGGGCTCGACGACGGGTCCAGAAAAAAGATTCCGCCACCCCCCGTGATCATGGTGAGCATGCGTAGCCACACTCGGCATCGGCGGCCGCGTTACGCCGGGCGTGGCATGGGGGGGGGGGGGGGGGGGTTTAGGCGGGAGGTTCGTGGCAGCCACACATATTTTAAAGGGGATCGAGTAAACGATCACAAATAAACGAGGCGTGGAGATCCCAATTTGTAACTGTTCAACCAACATAATTGACCAGTTGTCCCGCCAGTAACCACGGCGCCTCGTTTATTGCATCTGCTGTGGTCATTTTCGCCACAGCTGCCCGCCTGCACGTTACGAAATAACACGAATCGCTCATGTCCGTTCGTCAAGATTGAGCCGGTGGATGGGAACAATGTAGGAAACGGCTTCGGCAACGGCGGCTCTGGCGACGGCTCGGACCTGCTGGACAAGTCGGGCTCGGGCGACGGAGGGGACGGCTCGGGGCTCGGCGACGGTGCCGGTGAGTGAAGGACACGAGCGTGTGCGCGCACGCTCAAGCCAGCGTGCCGGTGGCGGGGGGGGGGGGAAAGCGGTGGCGCCGCGAACACCGGCAGAGAAATGGTGGTCACCAGCTGAGAAGGCGACAACGATTGCAATGGGGGAGTAGTGGGGGTAGAGCGTTTTTTTGTTTTGCTTGGTGGAGCACGCGAGCCGAACAAGTGCCAATTCTCCCCGGCTAACAACCCCGAGCGTTCCTTGTCAACCAACCGGAGCACTCGGGACTGACTGTCGCCAGCTAGCCACCCAAGCACTTGGCCTGGCCCCCCCACCCGAATCAGCTCCGGCAAACAGCGGATAGTACCAGCCGAAGCGCTGATCCTACCGCTAAACTAACCCTGAAACAACTAGCCAACCAGGTACGAAAACGAATAGCTGGTTGGCTAGTGACTAGCACGAGTGCCTATTCTTTCGCCTACCAGCTAGCCAACCGGTAAGTGATACTAGCCCATAACTATAACCTCGCCAATTGCTAGCAAGCCACGAGTACTATCCCACTCACTGGACGTAGCTGTCCCCCTAACTCGAATTAACCAGTACCATCCCCTTACTCTGACCCTATACTTACCCTTAACTCCACTTCATTAGTGGCATTCACAAGCACAAGACTACATGTAAACTGTAATCTGATTACCCTCGGCAGGTACTGGTGATCCTGTATTATTACTCAGCCTTCAGTGTGTAATCGAATTACCATTACGTACCAGTTGATTACGTGTTTTGATTACGCTCATTTCTGAAGATTGCGTTTGTCTCACTGGGCAAATTGTTGTCTCCTTTTACATCACTGTTGCAAATGTAGCACTTTGTTCTGAGAATATCGAGATTTTCTTTTGACAGAATCTTGAATCATTTTCCGAGCACAAATAGCACTTAGGTCCACCGCCACGCTATGCCCGGCTCACATTGAATAAGAAAGAGAAAAAAAAACTTAAACTGGAATAAATGACGTCAATGCGTTAGACACTGTCTCTTATTTAATACATTTTCTTTTTAAAGACCTCAGTCACCAGCGAGGGACCGGTGACGAGGACTCCGGACGAAACAGACGGGACGCTGACTCGAACGCCGCCCCGCCGAGAAAAAGGCAGCCCGCCAAACAGCCTGTCGGTGTGTGTGTGTGCGCACAGATGCACTTTGGTTATCGTGCAAGAGCATTGTGGGAGACCCTGTAGCTTGAACTTTGTTTAAAGGGGGCATACAAAAAATCAGGGGGACACGACACAGTCGGTGTTAAACACACATTGGACAAATGTGCGGAACAGAGTGAGTAAAGATAAGAAGAATGGTGTTAAATATTGTACTTTGTTTGACTTGACTGTAAACATTTAAAGGGGGGTTGAGCTTTCAGCCGGAGGAGGGGGGGGGGGGATTTAGCCCCCTCCAGTCTCGGCTATTGGTGATATGCCGATACATTTTTACTGTGGGTATTGTGCAATACTCTGCATGTTAGGTGCATTGTGGGTATTCTGCTTTACTCTCCTCAGTATGGTGCTGGTGCATTGTGGGTAGTGCACATTACTCTGCAAGTAGGGTGCTGGTGCATTGTGGGTATTGTCTATTACTCTGCAAGTATGGTGCAGGGGCATTGTGGGTGTTGCACGTTACTCTCCTAAGTATGGTCCAGATGCATTGTGGGTATTGCGCATTACTCTGCAGGTCTTAGGGCTCCAGTTTAACCTAATCACTTTGTCGTTTATGAGAGCATGATTTTCTTATGCTTTCAATAAGAGCCCGGTACGGAGCACAAACTGCGACGCAGGGAGGGGGTATACAGAAATAGGTCTCGAACTCTGTGCCTCTTGTCACCTCGTTCCTGCAGCAGTTGCGAAACGTCAATTTATTTTCACTGGCAAAAGCAAGAAAACCATGGTGATAATATGTTTGGCCCATCATCACTAATGCTCTGATAAAAGGGACATGATAGTGATCATGATGATGATGATGAATTGTTTTATCTTAGACAAAAACAGAGTTTTGCGTTGGCTATTGTTTCCACTGAATACTTTCATTTAAAGACCTCAGTCACCTACGCGGGACCGGTGACGAGGACTCGGGACGGAACGGACGGGACGCTGACTCGAGCGCCGCCCCGCCGAGAAAAGGGCAGCCCGCCAAACAGCCCGTCGGTGTGTGTGCACAATAGCACGCATCAGTGCATCGTGGTCGCCGTGCAGATGCACTGCTGGTGTTGTGCAAGTCCATTGTGGGGTTTTGCACGCAATGGACAAATGTGCGTGGTGTGGTAGTGCGCCGTGCTTGTGTTGACGGCGACGATGCATTGTGGACATTGACCAAATGCATTTTGCAAGTGCATCGTTGGTGTTGTTGCGAGTTGCACGATGGTTTAGGGCTCACTAACGTTCGCATGTGCCCGACCAGCTGCACTGAGAATTGGCGGAGCCCCGAGTAGAGTCCGCTGTGGGTTTATGAAATTAACACAAGATTGCGTAGTTGTAGAAATGTCCTTATTTCTAACCGAGTGCAGGGGGAAACGGGGCATGCACAGTGATGCCAGTCACCCAACCGTGCATGTCAGGTTTCGCGTTTAATTTAACACGGCCTGCGGTGGAGGTTTGAGGGTGGTCCTCTGGTGACGCAGTAGTGATGGGCAGCTGTGACAACTTGGGGAGGCGTGGTACCTCCAAGGTGATGAGGCAGCGGTGACATAATCAAGATCGTCATTAGGATATCCTTAAAATGACGTCATGACGATAAAGTTGGACAGGAAATCTCGCTAAGACATCAAACGGATGGAGGTGGACAGAGATCACGGAGAGTGCGAGACACGGGGGGTGGAGGCCTTTGGGCAAAAGTGGGATGCTAACGGCTAAAGAACAAATGTTGAGAGAGGCACGGGAACAGTGTTACCCGGTCACCACCTGCTCTTCACCGGTTAATGTAACGGTGGACGTTTTGACCGTGCTTAACCCAGTTCAAACTAAAATGAAGCTTAACAGGGCGTGAATTCAATCTTGACATAAAGCTTTCGTGACTGCAGGAATTCATATTCTTTGGGTCTTTCGGTAAAGTCACGTAGATGGGTTCAAAGAAAATAATACAAAAAACTACGACGTTTCGATCGCAACACAAGCGATGACGAACGCTTGTGTCATTTTCATTGAACCTATCTACGTGACTTTACAGAAAGACCCAAAGAATAGGGCGTGAATTCTTCCAAAGGGGTCCAAGAAAGAGATCCTTACAAACACTCAATGAGTTTTTGTTTGCCTGCCTAAAAAGACGTGTGCTGCGAGGCGAATTACAGATCTGAGGTGCTTAACTCCCCTGTGTGTGTCCTGCCAGTGTTTTGGAGTTCTGATTTAACCCATACACACGATCAGCGTGCATTAACACTGTAGGTGTATGCCGGGTTGAGCCTGACTCATGCATTGATGGGCGGCCGCCATGCACAAACCAGGTTGTAAATGTTTGTTGGCCATATATTGTACTCTTTGAAGACCACGGTCACCAGCGAGGGACCGGTGACGAGGACTCTGGACGGAACGGACGGGACGCTGACTCGAGCGCCGCCCCGCCGAGAAAAGGGCAGCCCGCCAAACGGCCAGTCGGTGTGTGCACAGGTGCACTGTGGGTAACGTGCAGGTGCACTGTGGGTATCGTGCAGGTGCACTGTGGGAATCGTGCAGGTGCACTGTGGGTATCGTGCAGGTGCACTGTGGGTATCGTGCAGGTGCACTGTGGATATCGTGCCGGTGCATTGTGGGTATCGTGCAGGTGCACTGTGGGTATCAGGAGAGTGCACTGTGGGTATCAGGAGAGTGCACTGCATAATCGCTAATCCTTCCAAATGCAAGCAGTAGGCTTCCGATTTTTAACCTCTTTTACACGACATAACCGATTTTCCAAAAGCTAATCGAATTTTTATTTTGAAAATCTTTTGTGGTAAAACGGTTTAAAAAAATCGGCAGTCTGCCACGTATACCTCGGCACGTGGGGACGAATGACACTGGGCGATGCGCCCCGTTGCACCGCGGATGATGCCCATATGCACTGTGGTGTGAAGTGCAGATGCAATTGCGCTGTGGATGGTACGCAGGTGAAATTTGGTTATTGTAGCAGACGCACGTTTGTCTCCCTGTCGGTCCGTGCACCTCCCCTGCCTGCGCTTGCGGTGGCTCGCGGTGCCCTCGTGTTGGGCGCGGACGCGCAACGGCGGGGTCCGTGGCTCGTTTCTTATTGACAGAAACAATTCGTCGCTAAGAATATATATATTTTTCTATTTTATTTATTACAAGTCGATGCGAGCCCGGTACAAAACGCCGATCACAGAACGGGTGGGGAGGGGGGGGAAACTCCGTCAACAGCAACCCAATTTCGGCGCGATAGGTGCTCCAATGAAGAGTGAAAGATTCGGCTCACTGATCCACACAGGTGGGGACCACGTGCGGGCGACATGAAGGTTTATATGGGGAGCGGAAAGAGGGGTAAGGGGTAAGATAACAAACATACTGGGGGAAGGAAAGGGACAAGGGGGAGGGAGGGGAGTGTGGAACTGGGTGGGGGGGGGAAGTTAAGCACAAGCACGAAGGACTGGCATGCCAAACAGTCAGCAACAAACAGCACTCGTGTAGAGAAAGGTAACAGGTGGCTTGTTACTTTGATTAATTGATTCCGTTGCAGTACGATTTATACAAATTATCTGCAAATGATGGATCGATTGAGACAGAGCAAATGAGATGGAAAAAAATATCAATTCACAAACCTAACTGGGCCCACGAATCGTAACGATTCATCAAATTGCAAAGTGTGTGAATAGTCACATGCGCATTAATTTATCACAACTCAGTGGTGATAAATGCATATTTAATTGAGCTACTGATGAGTGCGCTCGGGGTGCCAATGTATCTGTGACGTGGGCGTCCAGCTAACACAGCGACTGAAGTTTGACGTTATTAATCCAGGCCCTAATGGTGCACCATTTTGCGCAAAAGGAGTTGGAGATGACGAGAAGTTTCTACTGAATGCACCCCCAAACTTTATCTTCCGAAACCTGACATTTATATTTATTGCATAACTGCTGTGTTGATGGAACCATATCCCATCTGTACGTTCTCCATGTGCCTGGAGCCCTGAATTAACCCGGATGCATGGTCAGTACGAGGCTAGGGTGGGAACAACTGAACGTGTTTGTGTTCAACCCCTTATCGCGGAAAATGCGCTAACTCTCTTAACTATAGCGTTTACTCGCTCTCGGTTTCTCGCGGTTACAAACGAGGTGTGTGTTTTTGTCACTTGACATTTCTTTGTGAAAGACCTCAGTCACCAGCGAGGGATCGGTGACGAGGACTCTGGACGGGACAGACGGGACTCTGACTCAAACGCTGCCCCGTCGAGAAAAGGGCAGCCCGCCAAACAGCCTGTCGGTGTGTGCACAGGTGCACTGTGGGTATCGTGGAGGTGCACTGTGGGTGATGGGCAGATTAATTTGCACCGTGGTATCGGGCAGGTAGACCGTGACTTTGTTGAATGTTCTTCATGAGTACAACATTGAACAGATGTTGGTGTTGCAATGCATTATGGGTGTTGGTCAAGGTCATTGTGAGTGTATTGCAAGTGCATGGTGGCCTGATTTTACTAATGTTCATGTTCACCCGTGATTGGCAGAATCATAACGTCAGGTACTGCACGTTCAATAGGATTAACTTTTGAAATTATGTTGTGTTGTAGAGTGGTGAAAGAAAAACCCTAAGTCATTTTACAGAGGATTTTTTCTTGCAACCATTTAATTTCGATGAATGAAAGACTGCCAAAATAAAGTGATTTCCTTTTAACCAAATGACAAGGTGAATGGGCATGCACAGTGAAATAAATGCCCAAAGTGCACGACCAGTTTCATGTCTAATTTACCATTGTCCCATAACGATAATATCATACGATGGTGAGCAACTCTTTTGAATGTGGTCGGCACTGCCAAATTCACTGTGCAATGAGAGGCTATACTCTTTGGTTCTATTCGGTAAAGTCACGTAGGTAAAAAGTAAAACAACAAAAATCACGACGTTTCGGCCACAACACAAGCGGCCTTCATCAGGTGAAGGGATCAGGCTGTCTCGAGGACAGCGCTGGAGTGAAACACAGCCACGCTCAGACCGCGACCTTTAAGCTGTGTGCGAGGAAACAAGGTGACTTGACAAAGGAATTAGCATAAAAATTGGCATTTGATTGGCCGACTTAGCATAGAGGTGGTGTACATGCGGGTGCACATGCCGGTTGGCGCGGGGGGGGGGGGAAGGGGGAGTTTACCTATTGATGGTGTGAAAAGGGAATTTTTAAGAGCTGCGAAAGTTTGGGGTACCACTACTTGAAAAATATACTGTACCATTGAAATTTAGCTTAATGTTTGGTTCGATTTAGAACATCTTTCCAATGGTTGCTTAATTTGAAACCATCTTCTCGGTTTAAATTGTGTCTGTGTTTGTAGATTCGAATTGCCTCGTGAACAAATCTCTGATAAAAACCCGTGGGTTTGCAAAGAACCTTGGTATCGGAGAAAATTATATCGTGATCACCCACAGCGTTGTAACAGTGATCAGCTACGGCAGAAGAATTCGTTTTGCCGTGTTTCAAATCTGATTTGTGCTCGCGAATTCGGCCAGAGACATGTCGCTTTGTCTCCCCGATATAGCAATCACCGCAGGTACAACTAAATTTGTAAACCCCGGGGTACTGTAAGTCAGGAATGACATCCTTCACGGATGGGATCAGATCACGAATTTTGTGTACTGTATTGAACCGGACCTGGATCTTGTGTTGGTTTAGAATTTTGGAAATCTCTCCCTTCACCTGATGAAGGCCGCTTGTGTTGTGGCCGAAACGTCGTGATTTTTGTTGTTTTACTTTTTACCTACGTGACTTTACCGAATAGAACCAAAGAGTATGGATCCTTGCAGTCACGAAAGCTTTAAATCTAGAATCAATGAGAGGCTGTTTGAGAGTCCCGAATCACGTTTGAGATGCCTGCTCTTGTGCACGACGCCAAGGAGATTGTAAAAACACAGGATGCATTCTGAACTCGTGTTTCAGCCTGGAATTGCATCCTCTCATTTACAATTACAGAGCTGAGGAGGCCTGGCTCCTGTGCGTGTGGGTGACTCTCCCTGTGTGTGGAGTCCCGATCTAACATTCTGTGCTTTGCTCCACGAAACCCCATGGCAGACCGGCTTGCGAATTAACGCCGCGTGCATTTGTACCCCTCCACTTGGAGGTGCGAGGAGCGCTAAACTTCACAATTTGCCCTTTGCCCTATTCCTGCAGACTCGGTGACACTGACAAACGAGCTCTGCCTTGTTTTTTGTGCATCTGTAATATATATTGTTTCATCAAAGACCTCAGTCACCAGCGAGGGACCGGTGACGAGGACTCTGGACGGGACGGACGGGACTCTGACTCAAACGCTGCCCCGCCGAGAAAAGGGCAGCCCGCCAAACAACCTGTCGGTGTGTGCACAGGTGCACTGTGGGTATCGTGCAGGTGCACTGTGGGTGATGTGCGGATGAAGTCGCACCGTGGTATCGGGGCAGGTGCACCGTAGCTTTGTTGAAAGTTCTTTACGAGTACAGCGTTGACCAAATGTTGGTGTGGCAATGCATTGTGGGTGTTGGTCAGGGTCATTGTGAGTGTTGTGCAAGTGCATGGTGGCTAGGTCTTACTCATGTTGATGTTCACCTGCGATTGGCAGAATCATAATGTCAGGTATGGATGACTGCACGTGCAATAAGATTAACTTTTGAAATTATATTGAGAAAGAAAAACCCTAAGTCATTTTACAGAGGCTTTTTTTCTTGCAACCATTTAATTTGGATGAATGAAAGACTGCCAAAAAAAAGTGATTTCCTTTTAACCAAATGACAAGGTGAATGGGCATGCACAGTGAAATAATTGCCCAAAGTGTACGTCCAGTTGCATCGTTCATTTACCATTGCCCCATAACGATAATATCATACGATGGTGAACAACTCTTTTGAATGTGGTCGGGACTGCCAAATTCACTGTGCAATGAGAGGCGGTTTGAGAGTCCCGAATCACGCTTGAGATGCCTGCTCTTGTGCACGACGCCAAGGAGATTGTAAAAACGCAGGATGCATTCTGAACTCGTGTTTCAGCCTGGAATTGCATCCTCTCATTTACAATTACAGAGCTGAGGAGGCCTGGCTCCTGTGTGTGTGGGTGACTCTCCCTGTGTGTGGCGTCCCGATCTAACATTCTGTACTGTGCTCCACGAAACCCCATGGCAGGGCGGCTTGCGAATTAACGCCGCGTGCATTTGTACCCCTCCACTCGGAGGTGCGAGGAGCGCTAAACTTCACAATTTGCCCTTTGCCCTATTCCTGCGGACTCGGTGACACTGACAAACGAGCTCTGCCTTGTTTTTTGTGCATCTGTAATATATATTGTTTCATCAAAGACCTCAGTCACCAGCGAGGGACCGGTGACGAGGACTCTGGACGGGACGGACGGGACTCTGACTCAAACGCTGCCCCGCCGAGAAAAGGGCAGCCCGCCAAACAACCTGTCGGTGTGTGCACAGGTGCACTGTGGGTATCGTGCAGGTGCACTGTGGGTGATGTGCGGATGAAGTCGCACCGTGGTATCGGGGCAGGTGCACCGTAGCTTTGTTGAAAGTTCTTTACGAGTACAGCGTTGACCAAATGTTGGTGTGGCAATGCATTGTGGGTGTTGGTCAGGGTCATTGTGAGTGTTGTGCAAGTGCATGGTGGCTAGGTCTTACTCATGTTGATGTTCACCTGCGATTGGCAGAATCATAATGTCAGGTATGGATGACTGCACGTGCAATAAGATTAACTTTTGAAATTATATTGAGAAAGAAAAACCCTAAGTCATTTTACAGAGGCTTTTTTTCTTGCAACCATTTAATTTGGATGAATGAAAGACTGCCAAAAAAAAGTGATTTCCTTTTAACCAAATGACAAGGTGAATGGGCATGCACAGTGAAATAATTGCCCAAAGTGTACGTCCAGTTGCATCGTTCATTTACCATTGCCCCATAACGATAATATCATACGATGGTGAACAACTCTTTTGAATGTGGTCGGGACTGCCAAATTCACTGTGCAATGAGAGGCGGTTTGAGAGTCCCGAATCACGCTTGAGATGCCTGCTCTAGTGCACGACGCCAAGGAGATCGCAAAAACGCAGGATGCATTCTGAACTCGTGTTTCAGCCTGGAATTGCATCCTCTCATTTACAATTACAGAGCTGAGGAGGCCTGGCTCCTGTGCATGTGGGTGACTCTCCCTGTGTGTGGCATCCCGATCTAACATTCTGTGCTTTGCTCCACGAAACCCCATGGCAAAGCGGCTTGCGAATTAACGCCGCGTGCATTTGTACCCCTCCACTCGGAGGTGCGAGGAGCGCTAAACTTCACAATTTGCCCTATTCCTACAGACTCGGTGACACTGACAAACGAGCTCTGCCTTGTTTTTTGTGCATCTGTAATATATATTGTTTCGTCAAAGACCTCAGTCACCAGCGAGGGACCGGTGACGAGGACTCTGGACGGGACGGACGGGACTCTGACTCAAACGCTGCCCCGCCGAGAAAAGGGCAGCCCGCCAAACAACCTGTCGGTGTGTGCACAGGTGCACTGTGGGTATCGTGCAGGTGCACTGTGGGTGATGTGCGGATGAAGTCGCACCGTGGTATTGGGGCAGGTGCACCGTAGCTTTGTCGAAAGTTTTTTTATGAGTACAGTGTTGACCAAATGTTGGTGTGGCAATGCATTGTGGGTGTTGGTCAGGGTCATTGTGAGTGTTGTGCAAGTGCATGATGGCTAGGTCTTACTCATGTTGATGTTCACCTGCGATTGGCAGAATCAATGTCAGGTATGGATGACTGCACGTGCAATAAGATTAACTTTTGAAATTATATTGAGAAAGAAAAACCCCAAGTCATTTTACAGAGGCTTTTTTTTGCAACCATTTAATTTGGATGAATGAAAGACTGCCGAAATAAAGTGATTTCCTTTTAACCAAATGACAAGGTGAATGGGCATGCACAGTGAAATAAATGCCCAAAGTGCACGACCAGTTGCATCGTTCATTTATCATTGCCCCATAACGATAATATCATACGATGGTGAACAACTCTTTTGAATGTGGTCGGGACTGCCAAATTCACTGTGCAATGAGAGGCGGTTTGAGAGTCCCGAATCACGCTTGAGATACCTGCTCTAGTGCACGACGCCAAGGAGATCGCAAAAACGCAGGATGCATTCTGAACTCGTGTTTCAGCCTGGAATTGCATCCTCTCATTTACAATTACAGAGCTGAGGAGGCCTGGCTCCTGTGCGTGTGGGTGACTCTCCCTGTGTGTGGAGTCCCGATCTAACATTCTGTGCTGTGCTCCACGAAACTCCATGGTAGGGTCGGCTTGCGAATTAACACCGCGTGCATTTGTACCCCTCCACTCGGAGGTGCGAGGAGCGCTAAACTTCACAATTTGCCCTTTGCCCTATTCCTGCGGACTCGGTGACACTGACAAACGAGCTCTGCCTTGTTTTTTGTGCGTCTGTAATATATATTGTTTCGTCAAAGACCTCAGTCACCAGCGAGGGACCGGTGACGAGGACTCTGGACGGGACGGACGGGACTCTGACTCAAACGCTGCCCCGCCGAGAAAAGGGCAGCCCGCCAAACAGCCTGTCGGTGTGTGCACAGGTGCACTGTGGGTATTGTGCAGGTGCACTGTGGGTATTTTCAAGGTGTATTGTGGGTGTCGTGCAGATGTGTCACCGGTGATATTCAAATGCTTTGTGAGTATTGTTCGTTGTGGGTGCTGGTCAAGTGCATTGTTTGGTGTTGGTCAAGTGCATTGTGGGTGTTGGTCAAGTGCGTTGTAAGTTTTGTGCAAGTGCATGAGGGGCAGTGCCTACTAATACATCTGCATAGGTTTTCGCGGTTGTGCTGTAAACAGCCCTCCGATGTGTTTTCGGGTCGTGTCACATGTTGTTCGGCATGATGTCTGGCATTTAGCTCAACATGCTGGGAATCTTCTTCAGAAACTGAATTGATTGAATTCAACTCAGTTTCTCCCCACATGCGAGGAGCCTCTCCAGGAATTGCCGAACAACACGTGATGCGGTACAGCCCGCAAAAACATCGGAGAGCCATATGGCTCACTAATGTCCACATTCCTCTGCCTGACTGCCTGAACAGGAATTTACCGAGCCTTAGTATCGGGGGTAGTTGAGTGCCACATTTCGTACAGACTGACCTTCATAATTTTGGACGATCGTTTTGTTAACAAAAAGTTCAAAGAATAACTGTCTAAACGGCTCTTGCTCGCACGTATTGTATGTCAAATGAATGATGGAATTCCTTGACCCCTTCAACCGAGGAAGCACACAAGCATGCACGGTCGCACAAACTGGCGGGCCACATGTCAGTAAACCGCACCAAACACTGGCACCGTGCAATGTTCACTGCACCGGAACGGTGGACAACGAAAGCCACCCCGGTCGTGTATGTCCTCACTGTGCTCGCGGTGATGTCCTTTAACCATGCAGTGAGGATGAGTTCCGGACGACAACACGATTGATCTCGGTTTTTTTCGGATGTTTTTGTAAGACTGATTACAGATCGTTTGCAGGCATTTCGGAAGGTTTACGTCAGCAGCGCGTGCCACTCTAGCGCGGCGTCTCCGCCGCCAATGACGGTGACGATCGGCCCCCGGTGCCGCGCGACAAAAGCGATTGCTGCGGTCCTCAGATGAAATCGCAACAACAACAACAACAAAACAAATATTTTGGGCGTCCACGGTTACCGTATATATATATTTCCAGGCCTGATTTTGGATGCAATCAGATTAACTCTTCAAATAGGGAACACATTCATAACCTGTAAGCATGGGTATGTCTTTGGCTGTGGCGTGGAATGATACACCGTGGATCAATTTCATCTTATATTCCTGTACTCGTGTGCACTCTGACCTGAATGGAAGCTCCATTTAAACAAAACAAAAAATGGTTCTCATCTTGTGGATACACATGTGCCCTGTGTCCCGGGCTTCCCTCCACAAATTGGAAACTTCCTTAATGAGAGAAAGAATAATTCAAAGTTACGGCCAGGCGTGCCATTGTAGCACCCTCGTGCAGTCACTGTTACGTCACTGCCATACATTGACGATGTAATGGGATCAGGGGGTGGAGCAGTGGTGCAGTGGATTAGCACATTGTCCTCTGAACCCAGCCACTTGAGTTTGAATCCAGTTCATGGATAACATCAGTGGCGAGTGATATCTGACGTCGTCCAGGCTGCCTTCCATTAACCATCCTCCTTTAACTGACCTGCACTGGCTAGAGTGGTGCAATATGGTCAAGACCTTCATCCAACATAATTATCATTAATGGAGTTTCAACTAGTCTCAGACAGCCCAGCCTGGGCAAATATGTACAAGGTGACAACCGCGGTATTTTTTGTTGTTGTTCCATCTTCCTGCACAACTCTGCAATTGACGATCAAAAATGTTCGTACAGGACCATTCGTTTACATCGGAAGTGTGTGTACATTACCACATGACGTTGTTTCTATTGATACATGTCTTCAAAGACCTTGGACACATCCAGGGGACGGGTGACAAGGACTCTGGACGGAACAGACAGAACGCTGACCCAAACGCTGCCTTACCAAGAAAAGGGCAGCCCACCAAACAGCCTGTCGGTGTGTGCACAAGTGCACTGTGGGTATCCTGCAAGAGTACTCTGGGTTTCTTGAGAAGTGCATTGTGGGTATTTTGCAAGGGCGTGTTGAGTAACACTCGTAGACTTTCAGGGCAACCTATGTGGTTGTTTGTACCAAGGTTTTCAGAGTCAAATGTCACGTGTAGGTAAAATAAATCGTTGGAAGATGTCACCTACTCTTAACCTGAAGTGAAATTGTGTAACATCAGTTTGTAACTTCGCTGCGTCACAAAATCTGGTGCTACTTCTGCATTTGCATTGGTTATGTTTTGTTACACAGTTGCTTGCATGCTATTCATCAATTGTATAGTCAAGTGTGGCTTGACTATACAATTGTTAAGGCCCGAGACTCTACCGCATGTGCTCCCCTCTTGCCTGGACTATTCAGCCCAAAGAGCTCACCTGAGCCAGGCAGGTGGATTTCGGAAATGTCTCAGGGCCCAATCAGAAGCACTGTAAACGCATATTCAAAAAAGATAATTGTAGAATAACTAAGGGCAGTTATGTGTTTAAGAATTAATGGGGGGTATTCAACATTATAACAAATTATATTAAGTTGCCACATTTGGGCCAACGAATCAAACAAGACAAAGTATGCAATACAGTACAAATGACGCAAAAATAGCATCAATGAGTGAGTCAAATCATGACTTAGAATCAATTTCTCAAGGCGTTAGGTTATGTGAATCGTTACATAATCACAAATTTACATCCACGTTATAGATTAAGTCGCGTATTGGGTACGTTGATGCTTAACCCCCCCCCCCTCCCCCCGAGTGACGGTGGGCTGACTGGCAGGCTGACTGGCAGGCAGCCCACTAAGCTGCCAACCGCTAACCTTCATTCCTGAAGGAGCCGCTCTTTCCTGATTTAAAGCTTTCACAAACGAGGTTAGACCGTGTGTTTTTATGCAATATTTGTTTTTTTCCCCCCCGTCAAAGACCTCAGTCACCAGCGAGGGACCGGTGACGAGGACACTGGACGGGACGGACGGGACTCTGACTCAAACGCTGCCCCGCCGAGAAAGGGGAAGCCCGCCAAACAGCCTGTCGGTGTGTGCACAGGTGCACTGTGGGCATTGTGGACGACTGCCGTGGGTTCTGTGGCAAGCGTGTGAAGTTTATGGCCACAACTACAGAAGAGGCCGGGCGTCTCGTGTGACCCTTGTGTATTTAGAGTTCCAATTCCACCGAACGTTTGGCCCACAAGAGCGTACAAAGTGAAATAAGATGGCTACGTGGATGGCAGGAAAAAATTTGCCCCTGCTGCTAAAACCATCATCCCGTGGTTGGGAATTTTTATTTATTTTGGACCAATGGCCCAATTATGACAAACTATGTTTTTTTTACCGTCATTTTTCAAAAACGTTAAAATTGTCATATCAGGAGCTTGTGCCGATGAACAAATTTACCCCTTAAAAAAGCTTGATCTCATGGGGTCATGGACGCGCAGCAGAGCTGAACCTGGTTAATGCTTAGATGGAAGTCTGCCAGGGAATATCTGTCTCACTCTGTGTCTCTCTCCATGCCCATCTCTCAGGGTCTCTAACTCTACATGTCTCTCCATGTGTCTTTCCCTGTGCGTCTCTGTCTCCATGCCTCTCTCTCTGTCTTTCTACAGTGAGGGAAAAAAGTATTTGATCCCCTGCTGATTTTGTACGTTTGCCCACTGACAAAGAAATGAGCAGTCTATAATTTTAATGGTATGTTTATTTGAACAGTCAGAGAGAGAATAACAACAACAAAATCCAGAAAAGCGCATGTCAAAAATGTTATAAATTGTTTTGCATTTTAATGAGGGAAACAAGTATTTGACCCATCTGCAAAACATGACTTAGTACTTGGTGGCAAAACCCTTGTGGCAATCACAGAGGTCAGACGTTTCTTGTAGTTGGCCACCAGGTTTGCACACATCTCAGGAGGGATTTTGTCCCACTCCTCTTTGCAGATCTTCTCCAAATCATTGAGGTTTCGAGGCTGACGTTTGGCAACTCGAACCTTCAGCTCCCTACACAGATTTTCTATGGGATTAAGGTCTGGAGACTGGCGAGGCCACTCCAGGACCTTAATGTGCTTCTTCTTGAGCCACTTCTTTGTTGCCTTGGCCGTGTGTTTTGGGTCATTGTCATGCTGGAATACCCATCCACGACCCATTTTCAATGCCCTGGCTGAGGGAAGGAGGTTCTCACCCAAGATTTGACGGTACATGGCCCCGTCCATCGTCCCTTTGATGCGGTGAAGTTGTCCTGTCCCCTTAGCAGAAAAACACCCCCAAAGCATAATGTTTCCACCTCCATGTTTGACGGTGGGGATGGTGTTCTTGGGGTCATAGGCAGCATTCCTCCTCCTCCAAAGACGGCGAGTTGAGTTGATGCCAAAGAGCTCCATTTTGGTCTCATCTGACCACAACACTTTCACCCAGTTGCCCTCTGAATCATTCAGATGTTCATTGGCAAACTTCAGACGGGCATGTATATGTGCTTTCTTGAGCAGGGGGACCTTGCGGGCGCTGCAGGATTTCAGTCCTTCACGGCGTAGTGTGTTACCAATTGTTTTCTTGGTGACTATGGTCCCAGCTGCCTTGAGATCATTGACACGATCCTCCCGTGTAGTTCTGGGCTGATTCCTCACGTTCTCATGATCATTGCAACTCCACGAGGTGAGATCTTGAATGGAGCCCCAGGCTGAGGGAGATTGACAGTTCTTTTGTGTTTCTTCCATATGCGAATAATCGCACCAACTGTTGTCACCTTCTCACGCAGCTGCTTGGCAATGGTCTTGAAGCCCATTCCAGCCTTGTGTAGGTCTACAATCTTGTCCCTGACATCCTTGGAGAGCTCTTTGGTCTTGGCCATGGTGGAGAGTTTGGAATCTGATTGATTGATTGATTGCTTCTGTGGACAGGTGTCTTATACAGGTAACAAGCTGAGATTAGGAGCACTCCCTTTAAGAGTGTGCTCCTAATCTCAACTCGTTACCTGTATATAAGACACCTGGGAGCCAGAAATCTTTCTGATTGAGAGGGGGTCAAATACTTATTTCCCTTATTACAATGCAAATCCATTTATAACATTTTGACATGCGTTTTTCTTGATTTTCTTGTGATTATTCTGTCTCTCACTGTTCAAATAAACCTACCATTAAATTTATAGACTGATCATTTCTTTGTCAGTGGGCAAACGTACAAAATCAGCAGGGGATCAAATACTTTTTTTCTCTCACTGTATGTCTTGCATTGTCTCGCTGCGTGTCTATGTTTCTCTCTGTCCATGTTGTTAAACGTGGTGGTGATGCTTTTCTTGATTGTGGTGGGATATTAGTGGTGGTGGTGTTTGTTGTGGTATGTTATTCGTGGTGGTGTTTGTTGTGGGGATGGTATTAGTGGATTTGGTAACAATCATTTTGGTGGTGGTGGTGGTAGTGCCAGCGATGGTGGCGATGCTATTATTTATGTAACAATCATTTTGGTGGTGGTAGTGCCAGTGATGGTGGCAATGCTATTGTTTATGTAATAGTCATTTTGGTGGTGGCCTTGATGGTGTTGCAGGCTTGGATGGACTCGGATCAGGGACGGGAGACGGTGGAAAGGGCGATGGCTTGGACGGTCTCGACAACAGTGGTGAGTGAAGCGCCCTCCTCACGGATTACACTCTCTCCCCGCGTGCCGTTACCGTCCATTCAGAAACATCTACAACGTCGCGTAGGGTGGTGCCAAACGGTGGTGGTTCATTGCCCACGTTTAAATGGAGGCAGACAAAAAGCATTGCTGACCCCACCAATGTATGTACTGGGTGTATGTTGGACTTCTTTCTGCACCATACGTAGCCAACGGTGCTAATCAGAGGTGCGTGTGGAGGACAATAAACAAAACACAAAAAGCGGTTTTAAATAAATTAGTTTTTCAATCTAAAGATTCAATATAAAGAAAATCTAAAGATTGAAAAAACCCAATCTGTTACGCTCCTCTGTGGCAATGGTGCTCAAGCGCAAGTGACAAAAAAACGCTGTGTGGCAGGGCGGCGCTGTGCGGCCCATTGTTTACGTCACGATGGGGAAGGTCGTGAGTTCAAAATCCCGGTCGGTCGACTCGGCCAATCCTATATCTTGAGGAGACAGAATGGGTACCGCTTTGTGGGCAAAGTCAATAGTGGCTGTCATGGTAGAGAGACAGGCCCCTACCATAAAGTGGTATCATTAAAAGTGAGGACAACGCAGATAATTATCGTGGAACCCCTCAACAATCATTTTGGTGGTGGCGGTGCCAGTGATGGTGGCGATGCTATTGTTTATGTACAGTCGGATTGTAATACATGAAATGTATGTTGTTTAGGTTATTCACATTTGTATTCAAACCTCAATGGCGCAGAGTTACAAGTGAAAGTGTCTCCTGATAAGTTGCGTGAGATTCAGCTCACATTGTAATGAGCAAGCCCTGAGCAAGCGGTGAGAATTCCACACTCCTATGGTAGAGGCCAATCTCTCAGTACTGAGTCTAATTTCCCACTGTGGACTTCCACACAAGTGGTACTCATGTTATTGACCCTGGTGGGACAGTGGGCTCAGTTGACCTATGGCCGACCTTTATTTTAACTTGTGGTTATTCGATTTGGTGAGTCAAATCCTACAATCGGCAGCGCCACTATAGCCAATCTTTGAATGTCGTAATTTATGACATAGTGTCGTGCGTCACACAAGTATAAAACAAGTCCCCAAGCGCCGACGGGAATTAAGACGCACGAGTGCCATGCGAGAGTAGCAGCACACGTGACCATAGGTTCACAAAAAATACGTTGTCAAGACAACCAATACAATTGCATACGTTGGAATGTATTCATGAATTAACGCACATAACCGCTTGCACATAGTGACATCATTGATTGCTTGAGATAGCTGCCGCCTAGGCAATGATACAAATGTAATCTGCAAGACGCGCCTGGGATGTGAGACCCCAGGACCGCGCTGCCGAGGGTTGCCACCTCGAAGGTACAAAAAAAACCATCGGGATTTATCGTGGGAAGAATATTTCAGAGTACCGCAAGAGTGGAGAACTACATGTAAATGCATTGTCTTGAGTGGGGTATTGTTATGCAGCAGACAAACACTGGGACTCTAAATCTCCTGGAAAGAATTACAGATTTCCCAGAACAGCTGCCTCAAAAAGAATGATCCCGGAAAAGCCAGGACAGGTGGCAACTCTATTCACCACTCACCTGCCACTCACTTACATACTCACTCACCCACCACTCACCATTAACTCACCCCTTACCGGCCACTCACTCATATCATGATGCACATGATTCTAGAAATGCCGTAAGTGCGGTAAACTATAAAAGACTTGCCAAAACTCCGATTCAATAATGGGAGTTAAAACAATAATTCATAAAATTACGTAGGAATTTACAACATTGTTGTTGATAACATTGATTACAAATGCCAGAAAAATTATTATAACATAAATGTACTTGCTTCAGCCACGGCCCGGCTGAAGCGCACGGTTGCAATGATATCATGGTGGCCATGTTGCAAGGGTGGTGTCATGATGGCCATGTTGCATGTGGGTTGTCTTCTTGGCAGCTGATTGGCTGCTGCACTGATGACGCAATCCCCAGCAACTACTGACACTCCCACAGTGTTTTGATCTCACGACGACCGCCCGTATTTCCTTCGAAATCAGTTCCAAATTTCCTTCAGACATTACGGATCTTAATACAATTGCAGCTTGCCAAACTTGTGACAATTTTATGAGCATTTTCTGTACTCAGGCCCCGGGACAGGTGGCAGGCCAAGCATTGCGACTGCCCCCTCTGCAACTACCCCTAGGCTCCTTGGCTTGACTCCGCTGACGGTTTGTGCACAGGTTCAGACGGAAAATCTGGACTGGTGGACAGACTGGCGGACGGAGACGACGACGATTCGGACGCAGACGAGTCGGAGTTTGCCGACCGCCGGCACGACGCCGTGGGCATGGGTACATGAGCTGGTGCCACGCGGCGCTCACAGACAGCCAGCGACATAGCGGGCAGGGGGAACTGTTGCCCCCCCCCCGCCCCCACAACTTTTCAACCCGGGTGGGGGAGAGGGGGGCATTATAATTTAGATCCCCTGACTAAAAACCTCTGTGGAACAGGAGTTTGAATACACCTTTTTTTGCAATTTCAAGTTTGCATTACACCTGTGTAGATTTCCACGGTTGCGTTGCACGGCCCTCTGATGCGTTTTCGGTTCATGACGCGCGTTGTTCGGTTCAATGTCTGACGTCTTTAGTAACTTGCCGGCAGCTCCTTCAGGATAGTACGGCCCGCGAACAAATACTTATCCATCACTGCCAGCATCTTAGCTGCTCTAATGGGATGCGAGAGGGGAGTATTTCCGATCTACTATGCTTCCAATTTTAATTAGCACGCTGGATTTGCTTTTCTCACTGCAAGAGATCTGTGTGAAGTGTGGCCAAAATAATGTTTTTGAAAGTTACCTTTGGTCCTCGGGATACTGCCATGGTGTAACGGCTAAACCCACCCAACTTGTAATCTAGAGGCCGTGGTTCATTCTCCTCGTGGCATTACAAACAACGGGCAAAGTTCTTAAATGATGCCGAACAACATGCAACCTGAAACACATCAGAGAGTTATGATTGCATGATTATGAACGTGTATTTGTTTACTGTTTATATAGTATGTATGTTGTGGTGGCCGTGTTGGTCAGAGGTCATTTTAATGGGCTGGCACCGTTGATATCCTCGATTTGAGTCTGGGTTTCAGAACTCAATGAACAAACCAAATTCTCAAGCGTAATGAATAGGTGGTCTCAGCCTAGTCTTGATAAAATGCAGCAGTGAGAATTTAAAAAAGAATTTGGTTGGCAACGAACTATCATGTGACTCATATCACTGTCACTGGCAGAGCGGGTGGGAGAGTGCTGCCCCCTGCTGTGTGGGTCAGAGGTCACTTGAAGGGATCTCGGAGGGAGCCCAGTGATATCCACTTCAATGGGTTGCACTGCTCTCCAAGTAATCCAAATGGACATAACGCCGCCAGTAGTGCAATTGGGATAAGATCTGTATCGAACATTGACATGTAATTGTTGCAGGCTTGTATATGTACGTAGTTGGTAATGTCCAATGACACTTGTCATCATCAATCGATGTTTATTAAGTTGGCCCTGGTGAAATGATGAAGCACTGGAGGTAAGTGCGTGTTTACACAAGCAGAATTGTCCTGTGATTTACTGTAAATCGGGTCCTCAAGTGTAGCAAGTCTATGGTCTCGACTCAGCCACCGACAACTGCGCAAAAACAATAATTGTGTTAAATTTGTCTATTCACATCATTCCAGCCGTGATGACTCAAAAACAATGAAGGTTGATTGTCACGTGATGACAACGTCTATGGCAGGCCATGTGGAAGAGTACACCAGCTAGTTAGGATGAGAATCAACGGAGCAGATCTCAACGGTTGTTCTGCGATCTCGTCTTACTTGACGGCATTGAAACGGACTTCAAAAGTAGTTCTTCCATGTCATCTTATCGAGGCTGCTGTTTAACAGCGTGTGATGTTACACTGCTTCATGCGAGAGTCCCAATTGTAACGGCAGAAATCCAAGAGCGCAATTGAATTAAAAACGGTAGAATATGGCAAAATAAAACTGTAGTCATGGCTCAAATTGCCACGGTGTGGAACTCTACCTCACCTCAGAACTATCCGCTCCCACCATCACTTGGTGTTGTGCCTCAGTGGTGAAGTGTATGGAAGTTGACCCCAGTGAGACAGACATCCGCACATATAGGATCTATGTGTCTCAAACATCGGATCTTAGGGGAAAAACATTTATCACACGGGTGGAGGACCTACGGCCCATGGGCCCATGACTTCATTTCATACGGCCCACAGCTAGATGAGGCCTACCACATTGAAACGGCCTGCAGGTGATTTTTACCCATCACTGTGCATGGTATCTTAGCCACACTAACCAGAGAAATATTTTTGACCTTGCAACAACACTCTGTTTCTAACTATCGCTTGCTCAGTCACGTCTATCACGAAAAGGCCTCTCGCACTTAATGTGTGGCCCACCACAAGTATTTGAAAATCTTATTCGGCCGTCAGTACGGAAAGGCTTCGTCACCACTGATTTTACCGGTAGACAGTCACCATTGCTTGGCTGTAACACTTTTGGCTGAAACAATTACCACTCGTATGACTACAAAAGACAAAGATCCCCCGTATAGCCTTAACAGACTGTAGGGGCAAGTGCTGTTGGCGAGCAGCTATGAAGGCCGGAACGGTATATGAGGGGATGGGTGGCCAGCGCCACGCCCGACCGCCTTTGTCTCCCCAGTGACGATGTTTACATACCACGCCAGGTACTCATTTCAGGCTGAATCGACCTAGGGGAGGCCCAGGACCGGTTCAAATAATCGTCACTGGTGTTGGCCGTGAGCGGGAATCAAACCCGGGTCGCCAGGTTCATAGCGCAGCGCGCTAACCGCTACACCACCGCTCTCCTGTATGACTACAGGACACAGTAGCACCTACAGATTTCGCGCCTACACAAAGTGCGAGGTGTATGTTACGGTTTTGTCAGCTGACGTGATCTATTCATTCGCTTTTTCCCCCGTCAAAGACCTCAGTCACCTGCACGGCACTGGTGACGAGGACTCTGGACGAAACGGACTGGACGCTGACCCAAACGCCGCCTTGCCAAGAAATCGGCAGCCCGCCAAACAGCCCGTCGGTGTGTGCGCAAGTGTTCTGTAGGTAGCGTGCCAGGGGCACGGCGGGGTACTCTGAAGGCGCATTCTGGGTATTGTACGAACGTGTTGTGGGTGATATTCAAAAGCGGTGTAAGTATTGCACAAGTGCATTGTGGGTGTTGATCAGTTGCATTATGGGTGTTAGTCAATTGCACTGTGGGTGCTGTGCAAGTGCATGATGGGATAACCAACTTCGCCATATAAATACAAATTATATTGAGAATCCATATTCAACTGCCCAGTTATCCCATTAAAAAGATGTCAGGTGTGGTTAAATTAAATAAACGTATTATTCAATAGTTAAGTGTAAACACTGGAACTGCAGTATTCCTAAAAGATTGTTACTTGTACATTGTCCACTGAAGACTCATTTACACCACAGTCAGACAAACCGCCCATTGCAGTGTTAACTTACGGAAATGCCTTTAGAATATCTCAAACTCTTAAAGACTCAATGGTACCATTCAGGAAAATGGAACAAAGTTGGGCACAATACGAACAAGGCAGTGCTAAGGGGGACAAAATCAGGATAGTTTCTACAATCGAATTACATTCTCCAACCACGACAGTTTGTGGCAATGTGGGGAGTGGTGAATCGTTCCTTGCTTGACGCCGAAGCCTAGCGCTAGGTTTTGTGTCCGGGGCTTCGTGTTGGATCAGGGTGAGGGCTGCACGCTGACACGTGTGTGTGCGTGCGTGCGTGTGTGTGTGCAGCGCGCAAGTCGCGGTTCGCAGACATCGACACATCGTTGAAGGAGCTCGAACCGAGCAACCGGAAACCTCGCGTCCAAGAGGAGGCGGGACCAGAGTACATCGTCGCCGGTGAGAGGGCACACCAATGCACGGAGGCAGGCAGACAGACGTGCAGACAGGCGAAGGAATGATCGGACAGAAGATAGATAGATAGATGGATGTATCGAATGGCAGACAGATAAGATTGACAAATGGATGGAAGGACGGGTGGATAGACAGATGAATGGAATGACAGACAAAAAATGATGAATGGATGGAGAGGTGGACTAACTGGCAAATGGATGCATGGACACTTGGACAGAGGAACGGGCGGAGAAAGACAAATTAATGGACGGATGAATAGACAGATGGAGCGATTAAATTAGCTAGATCGATTGTGGCATCCCAAAGCCATGTGAGATGGCGACGGCTCATCATGATTGCGGCGAGAAGCAAGATTTAACCCCCAACCTCGAACACTTTTGAGAGCCACCGGGAGGTGGATGCGGACGTGCAGTGGGAGGAAAGCCTTCATCCATCGGTGGATAAGTCGTGGCTGATGTAATTTACCAACGAAACGTCGTACTCAAACAGTTGTAAATGCTGTGGATTCACTCTTCAACACACCGGTGGGCTAAAGTAATTAACTATTTTGTCTTTTGTCAATGTGACACATTTTTTACTGTTTGGCCGTGTCGGGTGGTGGAGTTACGACACATTTATAAATAACGCGATCTAACCCAAAAACCTTTATTATGAATAATATTGGTCGCGAAAGCCTACGTGTTAAACTGGGTACGCAACATTCTCCTAGCTAGCGTGGAAGCGGTGGCGAGATGTTAACTACCTCGCCTGGTATACATGAGGTCGTGGGTTAAATCCCGACCCTGACGCATGCTGTATATTTGGAGTTTGCATGAACTCTGGGTCCTCCGGTTTTTCCCTCCAAATTTAGAAGCGTGTTTAACAGTATTTGGTTGCTGCAAATTTCCACGTGGTAAGCCACTTCGTTGGCCGGATCCCTTCTAAAAAATAACTATACAGCTCAGTGGCCCTTACCTGGTAAAATAATAGTTTATAGTTGATATACAGATTCTCTCGATCTCTCTCTAGTGGAAGCCCTTCTGCCAGCATCGCACGGGCGAGTTATTGCAGGGCTGCACCATTCACCTTTTTTAACCTTTTACCCCACCCGCGACCGCACCACCAGAGCCCCCGGTGATCGACGAGGATGCACGCGCCAAACTGGAGCGCGACCCTATCACGGTGCGCGCCGGCCAGACGGCGCTGGTCAGCGTGCCGTTCTCCTGCAAGGGCACGTCGTGCTCGGCCACGTGGACGCGGGACGACGGTGCCACGGAGGTGCGCGAGGACGAGCGCACGCACCTGGAGCGCTCGGACCGCGACGCCACCTTCACCCTGTCGCGGTGCAAGCGCGGCGACAGCGGCGACCTCAAGCTGCAGCTCAAGAGCCCCATGGGCACCGCCGAGATCAACATGCAACTGGAGGTCATCGGTAGGCGCCCCTCCCGTCGGTGCTTAGACCGAGCGAGTCGCGCGATGGTCATCGTCGTCATCGTCCGCGCTTAGCGGGACGTGGTCGAGAGGTAGCACGTTTCGCCGCTTGTTACCAAGGCTAGTGGTGGCATTCCCCCTGACTGCCCTGGTGAATACCGTACCGCAGGTGTACGAACCACGTATGCACGCCCGTCTCCTTCAGAGTGCCCATTAAAGATCCCATGAGGGGTTTTTTTTTCGTCAGGAGTGGGCTACGTGTGCGGGTGCGAATGTGGTATTGCGTCTACCTGTAAAATTACCATATTGGGAAAACGCAAAGCAATGTTACACCCCAACTTGCAGACGTCAAGCATGAATGGTGTGACCTGTAAACATTCCTAATACAGCGAAAGCTCCCGAAGCCGGATTCAAGGGAGCCCGAGTTTAGGGTAAGCCCGAAGGCTCCCCCAAATCAGTCTGGCTTTTGAGAGGTTTAGCTGTGCAGCAAACTCGTTCTATTCGCGGATCGTGTAATTGCGGTTTTGCGTATTTGTGACAAATTTATTCTCGTGTGATATTTGGAAGCCACAATGAGGCACTTTTAAATCTTAGATCGAAAACTAATTCCTTTAGAACTGCTTTTGTGTTTAATTTTCGATGTAAAGCTTTCGTGACTGCAGGGATTCATCTTCTTGGTTCTTTCGGTGAAGCCACGTGGAAGGGAAACAATAAAGTGATAAATAATAGAACATAATAAAATAAAATTCTCGCGTCGTTTCGGTCACAACACAAGTAGCCGTCCTCAGGTGAAGAAACAGAACTGTCGGAAAGACAGCGCTGCCTCTATTATTTTATTATTTCCCTTCTACGTGACTGAGGACGGCTACTTGTGTTGTGGCCGAAACGTCGTGAGAATTTTATTTGATAATTTTTTATTATTATTTTATTATTTCCTTTCTACGTGACTTTACCGAAAGAACCAAGAAGATGAACTGCTTTTGTGTTTAATTTGTTGCCCTTCCCCCGTACTTCCCATTAGCACGGTTGGCTACGTACGGTGTGAAAGAAGTTCAACACACATATACATTTGACATTTTCAGGGTTGTATTTTAAATATTCGCGGCCGCAGCACACTGCTACCGAACGAGAAGTGTTGAGACATGGGGAGCGGCGTGGATGGTGAGCTCGCAAAAGTTGCCCAAGCGACGCTCTCCCCTCACTCTGCCTTCGCCGCACTGTTTACAGCGCACGCGAGTGCTTTCCTTAACAATAAACAAATATTTTGGAATTTCATAAAATTCACGTATTTATTTATTCATGCATATTTGCACTTTTAAGCATGCTCATGTTCATCATTACTAAAGGTAAGTTAAATAATACAATGTATTTGTTCGTCAATATATGCGTACAGTTGATATGTTTCAATGAAAAAATATAAATATATACGTCCCCTCGCCCGATTTTCCACGTAAACTTTTCAGCGTCAACATCGGCGTATTTAATATTCGCGCGCCGTTCTCCAGGAATGCGCACACCCTGCCCCCCCCCCCCGCGAATATTGAGGGTTTCTTGACAGCAACGACGGTAACAACGGTCGCACAATAAACGCACGCAAAAAAAAACCGCTCGACCACCACCACCGCCGCTGCCACTTTTCCAGACAAGCCGTCACTGCCCGTGGGGCCCCTGGAGACGAGCGTGGCGGGCAAGCTGGTGACCATGACATGGCAGCCCCCGCTGGACGACGGAGGGCGTCCCGTGTCGCGCTACCTGGTGGAGCGGCGCCAGGCGGACAAGCGCTCGTGGGTGCCCGTGGGCGATGCGGCGGGCGACGCGGCCAGCTTCAAGACGGACAAGGTGGACGAGGGCAAGGCCTACCAGTTCCGCGTGCGCGCCGTCAACTCGGAGGGGGAGAGCGACGCGCTCGAGTCGGGCACCGTGACCATCGAGAAGCAAGCGAGTACGTGCGCGTGTGTGCGAGTGCGTGCGCGTGCGTGTGCGAGTGTGTGTGCGAGTGCGTGCGCGTGTGTGTGCGTGTGCGTGCGTGTGTGCGCGAGTACGTGCGAGTACGTGCGCTTGTGTGCGAGTACGTGCGGAAGTGTCGGGGAGCGGTAGCGCAGCGGTTGGATCGCTGCGCTGTGAACCCACAGACCCGATTTCAATTCCCGCTCGCGGCCCACCAACACTAGCGACGATTGTCTGAATTGGTTCTGGGCCTCCCTGAGGTCGACTCAACCTCAAATCAGCACCTGGCGCGGTGTATAAACATCGCCACTGGGGAGACAAATGCGGCCGGGCGCGGTGCTGGCCACCCACTCCTTGTGTGCCGTTCCGGCCTTGATAGGTGCTCGCTAACAGAACTTGCTCCAAATGTATTTTTTGGGCTATAAGGAGGATCTTTGTGTTTGTCTTGGTGTGTGTTACGAGTGGCACAACTACAGGAATAGATACAACCATTATTGGTCATTTCAATCGGTTCACCAATGACACCCGGATTTATTTAATGATTTCCTGCCAACGATCCCTCAACACTTCACGTGCGTCAAAGTGCACCTAGCCTGGCACAAGCGCTGTGCTGACGTCACTCTCATTTAGTGGCAATGCACCACCTCTGCTCCCTACTATTCCAACATGCACATCAGTACACACACACTCGCAATGCATTTATACAAACCAAATATGAATAATAGTAAAAATAGTAGGACTAAAAGTGATCATAATCTAAATAAAAATATAGAAATACTCATAGAACAGAACACACTGATTTTAAATTAATATTTGATTTATACTTTAATTTTTTTATATTTTTACACGTGTATGCATCGCAACACTATGGCACAGAAAATCCCCATGTAGCCTTTTACGGACTCTTTGAGAAAATACTGTAAGCAAGCAGATTCTGGTGCAGTGAATTAAAAGCGTTTATAAAACCTCACTGCAAAACAAACGTCACGAGAGCGAACAGGTTCGAGCGCAGTAAATTAAAAGTGCGGGTTAAAAATATCGCAGTGGCAGACGTGTGCCATCGCAGTGAATTAAAATGCAGATGTAACAAGGCAGCCGGAGCGGGATAGCTCAAATTACGTTTCTCCCGTTAGTGTTCGGATTTTTAGATGCGTTGCTTCAGTGTGGCCGATCCGGTCTAATAAAATTTGTTTTTAAACCCAAGAACACAGGGACACATTTTAAAGATATCCCCCGCAACTTACTCAAAGCTCTACTGGTAACGTTGGCAAAACTGTAGCAATAATTACTAACGTAACAAATATATAAAATTACATATATATAGAACACAAACAATAATAGTGACAGCTAAATAGTTTCCACAGTAATAAATAATCTGAATAAAAATATAATAGAATAAAATGTAGGATAAAAACAATACGCACATAAACAACAATAACTGAAACAGCAGCAGCAATAATTGTTTTAACTATGTGGGAGGAAATCTAAGGTAGAACCTCTCTTAACGTCGGTCATTGGTTCCACGAAACCGATCGTTAAGTGATTTGGTCGTTAAAAGAGACGTTCCAATGCACCAACGCTCATGAATGGACGTCGCTGATTGGCTGAGGCCTGGACAGACTCCTTTGGAGCTCGCCGATTGGCCGAAAATTTTTGTCGGTCTCGCGCGAGTCGTAATCCCGTCGTTAAACAGGGGAATGGTCGGTAAGCGAACACATTGGGCTCTATGGAGGCCTGTCCTTAAGCGATTAGTCGTTAACAGGGGTGGTCATTCAGAGGGGTTCTACTGGACAAGGCAGTCATATACTTTGTTGTGCTGCTCCACATAGAGGGCACAGCGCACGATCCCTGCGTGATCCACTCACACCCTGTGCGAGTGCGCACCACCGCGCTTCCAGTCTGTGTGTTGATAAAGCGGTGGCTGGGGCCACCTTGCTGGAGCGCAAGTGACGCTGCGCTACGAACCCGGCGACCCGAGTTCGATTCCCGCTCGCGGCCAACGCCAGTGAGGATTATCTGAATTGATCCTGGGCCTCATCCCCTAGGTCGACTCAGCCTCACATGAGTACATTGTGCGGTGTGTAAACATGGCCACTGGGGCGGGCGTGGTGCTGGCCACCCGCCCCCATCGTGTGGCATGTCGGCCTTCAGCTCTTGCCCCAACAGTCCTTTGTGTTTTGTGTGAGTGGTGCCTGTCTGATAAAAGATGCCACAGCGTCAATTGATTTCCTCCGAGGTCAGGATGTGAATTTGGAAAGGGCTGCCCCGCCCCTAGCCCCGCCCGGCAAAGAATTGACCGGCGAAACTGCGGAAAACACGGGAATCTTCCCACTCCAAGCATTGCCCATTTGGTTGCGTAAATATCCCAAACCCGCCCCTTTCACCTATCAAACATTTTTTGGTGCAGGGTTGGGGAAAGGTCGAATCTCGACAATATATGCATTGGGTGATGACATTCAGCAAAAAAAAAATACTTAAAATTGTGCAATCTATCCGATATGGGCGGACGGGGGGGGGTTACAGGCGATCACAAGCGCTTGGATGACAGGCATTCACCACCATGCCCAGCATAATGACGATGGCTGAGGATGGCGATTACGATAACGACGACGATGATGATGGCATTTGCACCTACAGCCCCTCCGAGCGCACCGGGCTCCCCGCGCGCCACCAACGTCACCAAGAACACGGTGTCGCTCATGTGGACGGAGCCCAAGAACACGGGCGGAGCGCCCGTGGCCAGCTACGTGCTGGAGAAGCGGAATCGCGGCACCGTCGCCTGGAGCTACGCCTCCACCTCGGCCATCTACGGTGCGAGCGTCGCGCCGCTCCCGCAGGCGGTGACTTCACCGGATTTAAGTGTGTGCGTGTGTGGAGGAAGAGGCTGGCACGTGATGGGAGGAAATTACTTTTCACAATGGAAGAGGTCATACTCGCCGCAGCGGCTTTTGGGTAACCATCAAACAAAGGCGGTCGCTGCATCGCGCGCTTTCAGATGCGTTTCCGCGGCCGTCTGGAACGCTCTTCCACCTGATATTAGGAAGCCACCAGGAGCTATGCACTTCTAAATCTAGATTGAAAACGAAATTGTTTAAACTGATTTTTGTATTTAGTTTGTTTTCTTTCCCCCGCACCTCCAATTAGCACAGTTGGCTACGTACGTTGCGAAAGAAGTTCCACGTACATACATACATGGGAAAAAAGCCAGAAACTAATAGCTATCCAAGGATATTATTAATGTACTTTGGGAGTAAAAGTACCGAGTAATGGAGGAATCCATGGTGTGGTAGAAGAACTCGGTTCGTTCAGGAGAAACTCATTGTAGAAGACAATCTGGTGACTCCCCTTGCCCGTGTCTCTGATCGTAGCCCACTTGCCTGTGTCTCTGTCCATGCAGACACCCAGCACACGGTGAAGGGCCTCGACGAGGGCACGTGGTACGAGTTCCGCGTAACGGCCGTCAACAGCGCCGGGCGCAGTGAGCCCAGCGCCGTCTCGCAGCCGGCGCTTCCCAAGGAGCCACTGAGTACGTGCACCCACGCGTGCATCTTTGTCTACGTGTCTTCATGGGTCCCGTGTGTATCTTGTGTGGAGCGGTGGCGTAGCGGTTAGCGCACTGCGCTACGAACCTGGCGACCCGAGTTCAATTCCAGCTCATGGCCACCAACACCTGTGACGATTATCTGAACCGGTCCTAGGCCTCCCCCTAGGTTGACTCAGCCTCACTTGAGTACTTGGTGCTATGTGTACAAAAAAAAAAACATTGCCATTAGGGAGACAAATGCGACCGGGCGTAGTGTTGGCCACCCACCCCCTCGTGTGCCGTGCCGGCCTTCATAGGTGCTCCCTAACAGCACTTGCCCCAACAGTCTGTTACAGGCTATACGGGGGATCTGTGTCTTTGTGTCTGTGTGTATCTCTGTGTATGCAGCGGTTAGGGCATTGCTCTACAAATCCAGTGAAACGGGTTTGATTCCCGCTCACGGCCAATACCAGTGACGATTATTTGAACCAGTCCTGGGGCTTCCCTTAGGTAGATCCTGGGCCTCCTCTAGGTCGACTCAGCCTCAAATGAGTACCCGGTGCGATGTGTAAACATCGCCACTGGTGTCGGCCACCTAACCCATCATGTGCTGTGCTCGCTCATAGCACTTGTCTCCTAATGTCTATTAAGGCTATACGGGGGACCTTTGTCTCTATGTACATGTCTGTGCGTTGTTTCTGTATGCATGCGTGTGTATGTGTTTCTATATACATGTGTGTGTACATGCATGTACACGTTACGTTAATGTTTGTATGTGAACTATTTTTCCACTGAGCTATATAGTTCGTTTTAGGAAGCGACCTGGCCACAAATGATAGCTCAAAGAAGTGGTTTATTGTGTGGACATTTATAGCAGCCAAATTCTCTAAACGAGTGTGCCTAAATGTTGAGGGACATACCGGCGCACCTGGAGAAAAATCCACACGACCACGGTGAGAACATGCAAACTCCAAAAGTGTCAGGGTCAGGATCGAACCCACGAACTTCTTGTATGTCAGGCGAGGTAGTTAATATCTCGCCACCGTGGCGATTTGCGTCTGCGTGCACGTGACGCACACTTTAAACGGGCGAGTGTGACAGCCGCTCTGAAGGGTCACGCCGAGACCCGAGCAGGGGCAGGCGAAGAAGTTTCACGATGCAGGGCAATGCCCTCGGAACCAGCGCAAGCGGCGTTGCAACTGCACTCACTCCGCCGCCGCGCTCCCCCCGCCAGAGTGCCCGGGCTCCGTGCACGGCCTCGCCGTCTCCAAGCTAGCGGCGCAGGGCTTCACGCTCAGCTGGAAGCCGCCGGTGGACGGCGGCGACCCCGAGGGCTACATCGTGGAGACGTGCCCCGAGGGCAGCAGCGAGTGGACGCGCGCCAACAAGGCGCTCGCCACCCAACCCTCGTACACGGTGGGCGGGATCCACGACCGGCGCATGTACTTCGTGCGCGTCACCGCCGTCAACGAAACGGGCCTGGGCAAGCCCACGCAGCTCGACACGTGCGTGAGCGCCGCCCCGCCCTCAGGTGAGACGATCGCTCACCCACCCTGACCCCACCCTGACCCCACGCTGACCCCACCCTGACCCCACGTTGACCCCACCCTGACCCCTCCCAATAGCTCCCCCCACCCCCCTGCCCACCTACCACCCGATGGTGTCGTTATCGGCATTGTCCTTCCTTATTCTTTGGGTCTTTCGGTAAAGTCACGAAGATGGGTTCAAAGCAAATAACAAAAAATTACGACGTTTCGATCACAACTCAAGCGATCGTCATCAGGAGGCATCTATGCATCTATGCCTCCTGTGATGACGATCGCTTGTGTTGTGATCGAAATGTTGTAGTTTTTTGTTATTTTAATTATTTTCTTTGAACCTATCTACGTGACTTTACTGAAAGACCCAAAGAATATGAATTCCTGCAGTCACAAAAGGGGCCGTCCATAAATGACGTCACGCACCTGGGGGGGGGGGGTGGTCAGACATTCGAGGGGGGGGGGGTTTGAGAAATGTGACGTCACATCAAAATGCGCAACTTTAAATAAATATAGAATTGTTATAACAACACTCCTACAACATCAGAGTGCAGTGCCACATTAAATACGCACTGCAATGACAATAGTTTAAAGCGATTTGAAGCATGTTTTATTTTCTAAATGGAAATATGGTTTTGGAGGGGGGGGGGGGGCAGAGCTTTGTGACGTCATATTTGAGGGGGGGGGTTTGACTTTTTGTGACGCCGTGTGACGAGGGGGGGGGGTCAAAAATCGTCCAAAATCGCGTGACGTCATTTATGGACGGCCCCAAAGCTTTAAGTCAAGATTTATTGTCCTTCCTTGTAAGCGGGAACGCGCACGTGGGCACGACGCGCTTACGACCGTGCAGTGACGGAGCGGTGGCTGGGCCCACCCTGCTCGAGTGCAATGCCGGTGACAATTATCCGAACAGGTCCTGGGCCTCCCTTAGGTCGACTCGGCCTCAATTGAGTACCTGGCGCGGTGTATAAACATCGCGACTGGGGAGACAAAGACGGTCGGGCGAGGCGCTGGCCACCCACCCCCTCGTGTACCTTGCCGGCCTTCATAGGTGCTCGCTAATGGCGCTTGCCCCAACAGTCTGTCATCTTTGTCTCTTTGTGCGTGTGTGCACGTGCAGTCCGTCCTTCCTTCAAGCTTGACAGCTCTACCAGCAGCTACATGAGGGTGAAGGCGGGCAACACGGTGCGACTGAAGGTCCTCTTCACGGTGAGTGGCGGCGGCGGCGGCGGTGTCCGCGGTCGGTGAAGCCCGCGTTCCCTTCGCCTGCGTGGGAACCGCGGTTCGACCGGGAAAGCGGCAAGGGAGCAGAGTGGTGCACGCGCGTGGGTTCTGCATTGCTCTCCGACAGCACGCGTTCGCCCTCGGGAGTTGTGTGATTGGCGACGAGAACGTCACCTTCCGAGCCGCACGGCGAGATGACGCCAAACGGCTCGTGAGCGGGTGGCATGAGGGACCAGGGTCTAAGGCGGTGATGATGGTGGCTGCATAGTAAGGTTAAGAGCAGGGAAATAGCTATGAAGGAGCTGTAGCCGATGGGACAGGACGCTAAGTTGAATGTACTAATGACACGGGGTTTCAATCCCTGCCTCAGATGGTCAAATTTACAATGATCCACATTAATCACGTCTATATAACGCCACCACGGATCTATTTAAGACAGCAGAAACTTGATTTACGACGCATCTTCCGACACGACTCCAAAACTCATTTCAACAGACTCGGTCTCCTTTCCGATGTGACTCGACGTGGAGCTTTTGTCATTCTCAAGTGTTTTTGTGGATTCTTTTTTAGTTTACCTATGAAATAAACCCTTTGTTAAATATGGCCGATAAAAGGGAAACAAAAACATCGCCAAGTGATGTTTCTACTGTTTAAGAAACGCTGGGACCGCCTGAAACTTTCTTTAATACACCCTCCCCCCCCTCCCCTCGGCTAGTGTCTTGCACTGACCCCATAACGTCAACTGTGCTAACTAGTTCAACACGTAGGCTTTCGCGACCAATATTATTATCATTCATAATAAAGGTTTTTAGGTCACATCGCATAAGTATAAATGTGTCGAAACCCTCCACCACCCGACAGAGACAATTAGTAAGGGATTTGTCACGTAAACAAAATGCCAAATAGTTACCACGTCAGCCCACCGGTGTGTGCTAACTAACGCACACACACACGTGTGCATTTGTACACGTGTGTGTGTGTGTGCTAACTAACACACACACACACGTGTGCATTTGTACACGTGTGTGTGTGTGTGTGCTAACTAACACACACACACACACGTGTGCATTTGTACACGTGTGTGTGTGTGTGCTAACTAACACACACACACACACGTGTGCATTTGTACACGCGCGTGCCGCTCGCAGGGCTCTCCGGCACCCGAGGCCGACTGGCTGAAGGAAGGCGTACGCCTGTCAACACGCGTCGCCATCACCAGCACGTCGGGCTCGTCGCAGATGCTCATCCCGTGCGCGGCCCTCAAAGATTCCGGACACTACACGCTGGTGATCAGCAACGAGGCCGGGTCCGAGACCCACAGCATCTTCATGAAGGTCATTGGTACGTGGAGGAATGCGCGCGAAATGCGCGCACGCGCATGCACACACGCACATAGGTGCGAGTAGCACCTATGAAGGCCGGAACAGCACACAAGGGGGTGAGTGGCCAGCACCAAGCCTGGCCGCCTTTGTCTCCCCAGTGGCGATGTTTACACACCGCACCAGGTACTCATTTGAGGCTGAGTCCACCTAGGGGAGGCCCATAACCGGTTCAGATAATGGTCACTGGTGTTGACCGTCAGCAGGATTTGAACTCGGGTCGCCGGGTTCGTAGCACAGCGCGCTAACCGACAAAGACAAAGATCCCCTGTGTAGCCTTAACAGACTGTCGGAGTAAGTGTTGATAGCGAGCACCTATGAAGGCCGGTGCTAAGCAACACACAAACGCACACACACATGCACACACACACGTGCACACACATGCACGTGGGTACATGGGCACGCACATGCAGCCATTACCATCGTCACCATTCTCGCCATCGTCATAGTCATTGCATACAGTTTTTTAAGGGAATCTCATTGTCGTCATCATAAAAAGCTTGTTATTCTCATGATAGAAATGTTGTTGTCGTTATTATAAAAACAATAACGATGATGATGATGAAAATTATGACACCCTCAACACAAAAATTCCAATGCTGATGATGACATTGATGCTAACTGTGCTACGAATAACCAGACATGTAACGAATCAATTAACAACTTTTTTTGCTCAAGATAGATCAGCGTCGAGGGTTTTTCTGGGTGAATCTTTAGACGCCTACGGAAGAAAAAAAAATCTGACAAAACCGAGTACCTCCACTCCCCGTGCCCCGTGTGCGCTCTCGTGCGTCCGCCCGCCGTAGACGTGCCGTCATCGCCAGGCCACGTGTCACTGGTGGAAAAGGTGCCGGGCACGGTGACCGTGTGCTGGAGTGCGTCTCGGGACGAGGTCACCGACGACGAGCTCACGTACACGGTGCTGCGGCGCGAGGTCAACAACAAGGTGACCGCGCGCCGCTCGGGGGCCTGGCTCTCGTAGGGGTGGGCGGTCGGTTGCAACTGGTGTGCGACGGTTTTTTGAGCCCCGATAGAATGCTGACCCCTTGGCAGGGCCACCCAGCGGGGTCAAAGGAGGACCCCCACCACGGGTCCGTCTTTGACTGTTGTCGCGAATGAACAAGGGGTCCGTCCCATGTGGCAACCTGCCTAGGAGCGGTCCAGTCCCGGGACTTCCAGGAACATATGGGGGCAAACTTGCCCGTGGGTCAGAATCCATTTGGCAGCCAGTGTCGTCGTGTACCGCCCCCCCCCCCCCCCCCCGGTGCTGTGCCGTCACCTTGTCAGGTTTGGACAGAGATCGGAGACCACATCAACAACAACAGCTTCACGGTGACGGACTCGGTGACGGGGCAGCCGTACATGTTTCGCGTGGTGGCAGTGAACAGCGTGGGGAGGAGCTATCCCTCGGAGAGCAAGGAGCCTTGGAGCCTGATGCGCCGCCGTGGTGCGTGTCCCTCGTGTGTGTTCCGTGTGTATGTGTCGCGAAAGTCTGTCCAATGTGTGTTTTCTATGTGTGTGTGTGTGTCCCGTTTGTGTTTTCCGTGTGTATGTGTCGCGAAAGTCTGTAACAATGTGTGTGTGCTCCATGTGTGTGTGTCACGCAAGTCTGTCCAATGTGTGTGTTCTATGTGTGTGTGTGTCCCTCGTGTGTGCTCCGTGTGTGTGTGTGTGTGTCGCGCAAGTCTGTCCAATGTGTGTGTGCTCCGTGTACGTGTGTCGTGCAAGTCTGTCCAATCTGCGTGTCTCGTGTGTGTGTGTTATATTTGTGTCCCATGTATGTGTGTGTGCCCCGTGTTTATGTCTCTTACGTTTGTCCCATGTGTGCGTCCCATGTCTGCTCTCATATCTAACCCCTAACACAGTGGTTCTGAACCTTTTTGCTATGGCAGCACCACTGGTCTCCTCCCCAGTTGACTAAAAACACTACACACAGAGATCACACGTCCGCGACTAGTCAACACGGAGTTTTAATCAGGCATTTGTTTTGTAGTGTGCACTCGTGTGTGTTTTGTCGCCACACCATGTCGCGTGCAACGCCGCTGCCCTGACCCCCGACCTCACCCCCCCCCCCCCGCTGCCGCCCGCTCACGCCCACGCAGAGCCCGTGGGCCTCGTGATGCCGCGCTACAGGGGTTGGAACGAAGCGAGCGCCCCGGCGTTCCTCGTGCCGCTTCGCTCTCACGTGGTGACCCGCGGCACCGAGTGCCGCATGAGCTGCGCGGTGCGCGGCTGCCCGCGGCCCATCGTCACGTGGTTCAAGGGTGGCCAGAGCCTGTGGGGCAGTCAGCGCGCGTGCCCCACGGAGACGGTGGGCGTGTGCTCGCTGCTGCTGCCGGTAGTGGACTTCGAGGACGCGGGCATGTACACGGTGCACGCGCAGAATCCGCACGGCAAGACCGAGTGCTCGGCCTCGCTCGACGTCAAGGGTGCGTACACACGAGCGCGTGCGTGCGTGCGTGCGCTGAGCGACGGACGTGTAACGGACGGCCAGCGAGTCCGTTTAGAATATGTGACGACCGGACAGGAAAGTCAGTTTTTAATACATAATGAGCGCGCGCACACGGGGGAGTCTCTGAAAAGAAAAAATAAACTTTCGGGAATAAAAAAGAACTGAGGCAGAAACTCAAGAAATTGAGAGATGGAAATCCAAGAAACTGAGAGAGAATCCCAAGAAAATGAGGCAGAAATAATTTAACCACGCAGGCAAGGGAGAGTCTACTCATGAAAAAATAGGTTGGGTTGTTAAAATAGTTTGTGCAGCAGCAAAAGGGCTAATGTACACAACTTAGTGAACACCCCCATATAAAATTAATAACCTAGGATAGTTAGACTTCACTTTTTTCCTATTTATATATGCATATTGAACTTCTTTTGCACCGTATGTAGCCAACCGTTCTAATCGAAGGTGCGGTGAATGAAGACAAAAATTTGTGGAACTGACCCTTACATAAGACCTCAACCATCGGCAGCTGCCGATTCACCGCAATCGATAGGACTGAGTGAATTATTGTATACAACAGGTAAACAACAACAAACAAACAACATGAGAATCCATTGCACGGCCGCGAGACACTCAAAATTGTGAAATAGCTTGAGTTTCACGGGTAACCCTTGAGACTTGATGTGTATGCTGAATATAAATAATTAAGGGGACACGAACAGACGGGGGCTACAAAAACCTCACAGTGTGCACAAAAACACCGGCTGTCCTTGCCATATTGGGGAAAAAATGCTTTTAAACGTTGTTAAAGAACCACCGATCAAAGGTCTCTTCATTACTTCGAGTCAATAACCATCTAACAAAAATAATCTTAAGGGAAATGTTATTTTGTTGTTAAAGTTTTATAAATTACCTGTTTAACTCTGTCCGTATGTATGTATATCTGTGTGTGCAGATTGCAGCGTGGATTGATAGGTGGAAAACTTATTGAGTTCAGGTTTGATCGAAAGTCACGTAAAAACTAAACTAGAAACCACATGTATGTAACCAGGTAATGCCCACTGAGCTATCTATATCTTTTTCAGAAGCGACCTGCCCACAAATTATAGCTCAACGAAGTGGCTGATCATGTGGAAATTTATTGCAGCCAAATACTCTAAATGCATGTTTCAAAAAGATTGGAGGGAAAAGCAGGAAGGACCCAGAGAAAAATCCACGAGAACACGTGGAGAACACGCAAACTCCAAATATACAGCAGGCGTCAGGTTTGGGATCAAACCCATGACCTCCTGTATACCAGGCGAGGTAGTTAACATCTCACCACCAAAGTGGCCCACCTGTTTATGCTTCTAACAACACACACTTAAACTGATTCCCATTAACGTGATTGAAAATGTAGTTCAGCGTTTGGTTGATATTTTTAAGAAATGCACTTATTTTACCTTGTGTTTTGTCAAATATGTAATTGTTTTGCCTGAGAGATATTTTTAGAGCCATTGGTTTTAAAATGATTCTAGAATGTGGCATTAAGGATGAGCTTGCAGATGTGCAGAAGCCCTTCACCCAAGTGAATATCTCTAAGGAATGGAAAAATTAATTGAGGAAAAATCTCTTCAGGAGCCATACACGCATTGTGCATGTAGTTTTCTTCTTTTTTTGTTCAAGCAACGAAACATGGCAATGTCGCTAACAAGCTGATGATACTCCGCAAGTTCCCTCGTACGGTTTGCAAACATATTACCGGGGACTTTACCAGTTGTTCATGAGGAGTTGGTAAAATCCTTAATTTTATGTTCGGTTACTGTTTGTGGGATTCATTCAAATACCATAAAATTGCGACAACAGCGTAAGTTTTTTGCGGTTGCACTGTAAAGCCAGTCGGTATGTTTTCGGTTTGTGTACACGTGTTATTCAGCATGATGTCCGACGTTTCGTTCCGTGCACTGGAAGTTCCAGAAGAAGAAGGCATCTCCCAGCACGCGGAGGGAAACGTCGGACATTGTGCCGAACAACCCAAAAACACGACGCAGAGCTATGTACACAATTGTTGTTGAATCTGACTCGAAACGATGCATCGGCTCGTTTATTTAAAGTGATTCTTACGCTTGTGATGCATGCATTGAATTGTGCACGTGAGGATCGATGATTTTCAGATTTTTGCAAATTGTATCGCTCATTCGGCATTTCGACTTTTCGAGCAAGCAAAACGGTATCGACGAGAGAGAACAGATGAAAACGCAAACGGGACGGTCATAACAACGAAACAGAACCGATTACCGACTCAAACCTTCACGATGATTGAATCTCTGGCGGTGTAAATCGTTACATGCCTACTGCTCAGCCAGCCCCTCGGTAACGATGATCTTAACAATGCAAACGTTCTATTATGATGTGCACTGACGCTGTCCGGCGAACAGGACTACTGTGATTCCTCCCTGAAATGAAACAATACAATTGACAATATTACTTGGATTTCCATATCATGAAAATGCAACCGCATTTCACGATAATTCAGCTCGCTGGCACGCAGCCTCTTTTCCCGGGTCTGTGTTTTACCAGCTCCGTTTGTTTAAACAAGAGAACCTTTGAAGGTTTTGACTCCTCTCTGGTTTAAACGTCTTGTCACATTTTTATTTTAGTCATTTGCCGAAGTAGGGAGGAAAAAAAACGTTACTTCTTTCGTGAATTGTATTGCTTTCTCTGGGGCCTTAACAGCGCCGGTGGCAATCACCAAACTCCGTCCGACCTGGAGACGTCTTCATTGAAATATTTCTCCGTCATTTATCCGCACAGAAAAAAAACGCATAAAGGAGAACTGATTTGCTTTCTCCTCTAAAACGTACTACTTTGCAACTCAGTGATGCGCACAGTGTATGTATTATATTGGTCGATTGGAAAGTGTTCGGGCCGTGCTTGCTAATGTATGGCCAGTTTTGTTTACATGCTGCAGAAGGTAAACGATTTATTGGTTAATGTGTTATTGTAATTAAAAAGTGTTACGCGCAGCACAGGAGTTTGTTTTATATAGTGCTGAAAGATATAGGGTAGTGAAGCAGATGTACTATATATACATGGTATGTTTATGGAAGGGTTTGTGGTAGGTGGAATATGGATTTTGTCAAAGCGGAGACCTTAAATTGTTATAAAATAGTAGGAATGCAATTAGAGTGATTCAGAGAGGAATGAAAAAAAACCATCGTTGATAGAATGGTTACTTAGTAAAGTTGACATGTCTTTTCTGTTCAAACTAGCCATGAGGTGGTTGGTGTTCTTCGTTGGTGGCCCCTGATCCAGTGGTGGAAATTCCACCTTTCTATGGCTGGGCGAGCCTGACCAGAGGATAACCACCGTTTACCATCTACCATCCACAGTGGTATTCATTTTATTGACCTTGAAGGTATGATGAGCCAAAATAACTCCCAATCAGACCGGGATTTGGACTCGCATACTATAAATTGTAAACCTGGTGAATGGCCAACGTGGTGAAATACGGTCAAACGACCCATGTGACTGACACGGCATGGGGAGGCCTTCGATCAGCAGTGGATTTGACGAAGAGCTGAAAAGGGATTCTGTAGTGCTGTGTTGATATAACCTTGAGGGCGGATTGCAGCAATTATGGTAGTGTGGTGTTTGCATCTTGGTAATGGTCAATGGATGACGACTATGAATGCAGGTGTTCAAATGTGTTTTTACGTTTGGATTTTTGTGATTACACTTACAGTATATGCTTTGGCTGTCAAGCCATGTTTTCCTTCTTGCGAATAAATGAATATGTGTGGTGTAACCCTTTCCGCTTTCATCGCCTTGTGTTTGTGCATTATCCCTGTCAACACACATCAAGGTTAACATTCCACATATCCTCATATCTCATCTACCTTTGTTTCAACTTTCATTTATCTTCGTCCTGCTCGCTAAAACTCAAATTTTTTCGAAACTATAAATTACCTTTGATCTATTTGAAGGAGAATTCACACTCCAACCAAAAATGTATATGACAGAATTTCGTATATCAGTCTAGATCAGACATGGGCAAAGTACGAACCCCCGGCCGTATATGGCCCGTTGGGCTTTTTAGTCCGGCGCGGCGAACTTGTCCAAATATCATTATTAAATTAAAATTTCCCCTTCTCCTGTAATGCTCCCATTTCCCCATTAGATGGCGCACTTTGACCGGGAGTTACGACATGTTTTTATATTGTTCATGTTCGTGCAATTTGTTAAATTGCCTTGCAAATAAATGCTTTGCTACATGTTAAAGGCCAAATCCTTTCATGTAATGATTTTTACATGTCATTTATATTTGTTCACACAAACACTCCATCCATCTGTTCCTGGCCCGGCCCCTCGGGGAAATTTTAGAACCCATTGTGGCCCACGAGTCAAAAAAATTGCCCACCCCTGGTCTAGATCTAAGACTAAAACAATGTCGGGCGGTGGTGGCAACACATGTGGCCTGTAATCCAGCACGTGTGGACGCAGGGGTTGGTGGATCACGCAAATGTTGGAAAACTCCCTGTTACCATACACTAGCTCGCCTAGATTAAAGCGTGGCTGTGCTGGATATATGAGAATGTAATTGTTATTATAATAGGCAATTTTATCGTCTTAAGCCCATTGGCTGTGCCATAAGAAGCCGTGCCATTAATTAAAATTGTAGGTACTGTCATAGAATTTTGAGATTATTGCCAATTAAACTTACAGCAACTATGTATTGTCACTTTATTTGTTCACTTTTTCCTGGAATTGCCCCTACCCATGTGGGTTCCCACATTCTGGTCCTCTTGCTCCACTCATTCGTGTCCTGGGCCATCATCTTCCACTTCCATTCCATCGTCCCTCACTTCCCGGTTCACCACGTGACACCGCGACATGTCTTCGCCTGCATCTTGGTCTCTTCCTCTGTGCTTCCACGTTCATCACATTTATCCGTTGTGGTTTTCCTTCGGGGACATGCTCTGAGTCAACTTTCTTTCAGCTTGACTGGGATGGGCAGGGCTTAATGTCAGCCGGGCCAGTGACCCGTAAAAATTTTACGCAACCGGCACAACATTTACAGTCCACCTCTTGCTATAACTACTTCTAGTGGCGTGCCTATTCTATACTCTTTGGTTCTTTCGGTAAAGTCACGTACGTTATAGCAAGAGGTGGACTGTAAATGTTGTGCCGGTTGCGTAAAATTTACCTACGTGACTTTACCGAAAGAACCAAAGTGTATGGATTCCTGCAGTCACGAAAGCTTCAAATCAAGATTGTGCCTATTCTAGTTTACCAGCGACCCTAAATGGGTCGCACTCTTGGCTTCTTCTTTGTCTCTTCATTTTTTACCCTGTATTCCTTTCCCCCTAATCCACCCAAAATTAATTGACTAAACCCCACCAAGTATCCACAACCCATGTGGACACTTGGGTAACAGATTGCCACCTAATAACCTACAGGGTGGCACGGTGCAATTGGCAATCCACGTAAACGTTTGCACTCAACACATACACCAGCTGCAACCTGTCTGGCGTTGGGAAAATAATATTACCAAGATTGGCAAAAACATTGCAACATCTAAGGACAAAGCCTCGTGATCTATTGTCCAAAAACGTCATACGTGACCGATTTCCCATCTGTGTACTTCGTTTTAGAATAAGGCTGTATAATTATTACGCTTTTCACAGAATATGCCACATTGCATTCATGATGTGGTCTAATAATGTAGTTATGAGGTCAACATTATACTATATTTGAAAAAAGTTTTGCTGGCTGAAGGCAGGAGTCACGTCCAAAGGATGTGCGGGCTGATAGTTTAATTTTAAATTCAACATTTTTGTCATTCTGCTGGTGGATCAAAGACTCTCCATGCCTTTTTGCAAATGGCGTTGTTTTATGACATAATCCACCACGATGGTCAGTGCAGGTCGGTGAAGGAGGTGGTCAGGGGTCGTTCACATATAACTCGTTAAGACGTCACCAGGAGACCGCCATCTCGCAGTTGATAGATGTTGGTCGGCAATTTTGACTAACACTCTAATCAGGCAGAGTTGGTTGCCATGAAGGAGTGAGTAAGCAACTTGGCGGCTGAGAACAGAACGTGAATCATGAAGACGAGGTTGTGAGACGCGTGCAAGACGGAGGATAGTGCAAGAGTTTGGGAATAGAATGTGATTGGAAAGCGCTCTAGATGTCACCATTAAGAGCGTCACATGGGTGGCAAACTCATGTCGGATGGAGGAGGGAAAATTAACGAGACAGCTACGGGGTCTAGCAGAAGGAAGAACGCGAAGGCGAGGTGCCGTTGCATCATTGAGTTGCTTAACGACCTCTCGACTACCGCTGTCTAAACGCTGAGATAACTCAGCCCCGTGCAAATGCTGCAAGAGGGGTGGGATACGGGAGGAAACAGACACTGAGAAACAGTAACAAGTGAACCTCCGATTCGCATGGTTGGTCACGTACGGTGCGAAAGAAGTTCAACACGTCCAATGGAATACGTGAACGCAGAGATGCGGCGAGGAACGGCGGCAAAGCGCGACACCGCAGGAAGAAAGAGTCTGGTCACCAATAAGTTATTTATCTTTTGATTTAAATCTTTCGTGACTGCAGTAATTCATATTCTTAGTTTTTTCGGTAAAGTCACGTTGAAGGGAAACAACAAAATAATAAAATATACATAAAACAATAACAAAATTCTCACGACGTTTCGACCATAACTCAAACGGTCGTCTTCAGGTGTGTTGGTTTGCATAAATGTATTTTTAAACGGCGCATTTATTTATAAAAACGTTAGCGCCACGCGCAACGATTTGGCAGTTTATTTAGGACTAGTCCATCTATATTCTGAAAAGAGGAGGGGGGAGACGAACTTTTTTATAATGTATGCTGTCTGAAAGCCACTGTAAGCGTGAACAATCAATTAAGACCTGAAATGGTATATACAAGCACAGAGACAATTTCAACCGAGAAGATGGATTCTATCTTAGCAATCATTGGAAAGATTTGATAAACCATTTCAGGTCTTAATTGATTGTTCACGCTTACAGTGGCTTTCAGACAGCATACATTATAAAAAAAAATCGTCTCCCCCCTCCTCTTTTCAGAATATAGATGGACTAGTCCTAAATAAACTGCCAAATCGTTGCGCGTGGCGCTAACGTTTTTATAAATAAATAAATAAATGCGCCGTTTAAAAATAAATTTATGCAAACCAACACACCTGAAGACGACCGTTTCAGTTATGGTCGAAACGTCGTGAGAATTTTTTATTGTTTTATATATATTATTATTTTGCTGTTTCCCTTCAACGTGACTTTACCGAAAAAACTAAGAATATAAGTTATTTATCCTTTCGTTTTTGCTCTCGCTTTCAGTGGGGGGTGCTGGCTGAAGTCAGGGGTCACCCTCCCACCCCTCTCGAGCGTGGAAGAGTAGGCCGAATACAACACTCGAGTGTTTAGATCAGGGGTCGGCAACCAAAATAACGCCTCTTAGATCTCTCATGCTCACATGTCCTTTGGATTGCACTCTCATGCTCACATGTCCTTTGGATTGCACTCCCATGCTCACATGTCCTTTGGATTGCACCTGTTGGGTTGCACTCCCTCGCCGAGGAGGCCTCTCTCCTCCTATCTTACAGTCGCATGCTAATTTCTCACATTGACATCATGCTAATTTCTCACATTAACATCACTTAGCCCCGGCCACTTCTTTACGACCCTTGGGCTACACCCATTTCAAACCTTTTAAAACAGTCTGCCTCAGCAGCAGACCATCGCAGTTCCCACCTGATGACGGACGCTTGTGTTTGCGCCCGAAACGTCGTGATTTATTGTATTTTATACCTACGAAACGGTCTTCCATGAATAAATAACGTCACAGAACGAGTCCTCAAAGGGCCCCATGCGCCTCCGGCTAAGCGCACGTTGCCGACCCCTGGATCTCGAGCAGTGCCTCTGCACGTGGGGTGCACGCGATGCCCTTCGTGTGGCGTGCGAGACGGTACAATCATCTAAACACTAATTAAGCACGGACACGTAAGGACTACCGGCTGCTTGGTTTCATCACGCCCGTGTATTTATTAAGATTATAAATTTTTGTTTAGTAACGACTGAGAACCAAATGGGGTCGCAGGGCTGCAGTAAAGGTTTAAGAACCACTG